ACATATGTTTCATATGTTTGTTGTTGTTTGATTTATCATCTACGGGTTTATGTCGAATTAATTTGATGGCCTGCTCCCAGTTGGCTTGTTAGCTCAATTGGTAGAGCGCTGCACTAGTATCGCAGAGGTCAGTGGTTCGAATCCCGTACAGGCCTGAAATTTTTTTCAGGTCTGATTTTTCACTATTGCTCAAATAGTGCTTTACTGCGAAGGATCGTGCTCATATACGTCTCATAACCGCAGTTCACACATATGTTTCATATGTTTGTTGTTGAATGGATTGATTATTGGAATATTGAACACGATAGCCGTATCCGTTTTGAAAAGGCGCGGATCACTGTTCAAATTAGAAGTCCATTTCTGAAGTCCAATAAGATTGTTCTATTTGACGAGGAATCCTGAAAATGAACAAACTGCACTGTAAAAACACTACGAAAACAGTCGATCGCAAATATTAACGAAATAAAAAAAGTCCTGCGATGCCTTCGCCCGTAAACTATTTTTTTCGACCATGAACACACACAAGAATTTCTACAAGTTCGTCAAGATGTAAATAGGCGAAAAAAGCTCTCGATAACATTCCATTTACAACATTTACAAGAAGTTCTACACAACACTCGAACTCGCCTTTCCCGCCAAGTCTGACGCCATGTTGAAATAGTTCCGATCCATCATCACGTGCTCGCATAATTTAATCAGAAATGGACTTCTGATTTGAACAACGATCCGCTCCTTTTCAAAACGAATACGGCTATCGGGTTCAATATTCAAATAATCAATCCATTATTGCATTCTTGAAACGGTTAGCGGGTTCCATTTTCAAATATTCAATTCGCTACCGCGCTCCTGAAACGATTAGCGAGTTCAATATTCAAATAATCAAATCATTAATGTAATCCTTGACTGTAAAGGTTTTGGAAATGTATGTACTGTTCTCGAATGGCTTTTGTTAGGTTTTGACAGGAGATGGACTTGATACGGATCGATGAAAGTCACAAAACAGACAACTTAAGTTCTTAAACAAATAAAATAAGACAGCACGTCATCTTTTGACGCGTAAGTGATGTCCAGACCAGAAAAAGTAAAAATATTAATTCAACTTGATTGTCTCGAATTTGCGTGAACGTGATAGAGTTTTGGATATTATTCGTGATGCGTGAAAAGGCCAAATATTTTTTGCGTGACTGAGTTTTGCAAAGGGGTAGAGGGGACCTACTGGATAGCATCGCACACGTCAATCCCAATGCACTGAGAACGGAGAGTTCGCTTGACTCATGTCACTGTACACTCCAAAGATAAATTTGTAGATTTTCCAAACACTCGTTTCAAACAAAATTTTGCATCGAATTCGAAAGATATTGTGTTTTCAGCACGGAAGCTTAGCCACTCAATGACGAACGCAGTTCTCGTCACGAATAATACTATTAAAAAGAAAGTATTACTTTCAAAATACAAAATGCAAGCAATGTATTTTTTCAGCTGGTGCTCTATAAAACAAAAACATTATTGACGTACTGTTATTAATCCAATTCTAATCACGTTTTCCGATGATGATGTCAGAGCTAAAAGTGTTTTGCAACGCTTACACTTGAGATCAAGGATATTCACGATGTTACCCATTCGAAATAGAATTTAAAATTTATACTACAACACGGCAAGACACGATTCATCCTTTTTTTCGTTGAGGATAAAAACTTTTTAAACTTGAATCATCTTTTTCATTCTCTATTCCTCGATATAGAATACTCACTGATTCTTTATTTTGCTCTCATAATAATGGAGGCGACGGAATTAGATTTGCCAACGTTTAATTATGATTAACAATTAAAGAAGTCTCATTTTAAGCACTAGAAAATATTTTTTCCGGGCTCTATCATGTTAAAGCCACGCAGGATGTACAGAAAAAACGAGGAAAACTTGTAAATCGCTTGTAGACTGACTTCTCTGAGTTTGAAACTCCCTTAAAAGGGAAAAAACCGTTTTATTATGCCCTTAACTGCCACTCTTATTTCACTTATCTTCCAGCAGTAAAGGAAGGGGTTCAAAGATGAATTGACATAAACCAAAGTTAATGTAATTCCCCATGCGGTGTCGAGCGCCAATGTAAGCCCTTTGTAGGAAATCAAACCAAGAACTACGATAAACGGCAAGTAGCAAATAGTCAAGGTGAGCTGAATCCAAAGCACACTAGAAACCGTTTTCTTAAACCGTGCATTGTTCACAGCCATGTTGTCTGTACAAAGAGTTCCACGAGCAACTTCCCCGTTTGTTTGCACGCTTCGCTGATGTTGACGAATTTTCAAAATGATTTTGGCGTAGCAGAAAGAAGATTTTCCAAGGTTTACAACACATAGTGCAACTCCTACTAATATCTCAGCTTGGTCAAATTCAAAAATCGGATATAAGGAAACCACAAACCCTATGGCTGCTACCCAGATAAATAGAAGAACAAGGAAGGTTCGTTTGAAAGTGACGACTTGCCTGTAACGCAAACCTAAATTAAGAGCTAAAAGCCTGTCTATACTTATCGCAGTTGAAGTGAACAACGAAACCGAGCACAAAGTATTCGAGGTAATGTTATTTAAGAATGCAGAGTAAAAGCAGAGATCCTCTCGCCAATCTTGGTTTTTTGTTAAAAGTGACACCAAATATAAGATATACAGAGGCTGTGAAATGCAACCAACCAGCAGATCAGTTAAGGCCAAACAGCGAAACAGAAGCTTCGAGGGCGGATGAAGCGTCGAATCTTTGTGAAAAGCAAATAAGATCAATGTATTTCCCAGAGATGTACTAATGGAGAGCAAAGCGTTGATTACCAAAAGGACGATTGTGTAAGATATTTGTAAATCGTTAGAAGCAGTGGTACAAATTTCAGCTCGCAAGTTGTGGGGATTTTCATCGCTTAGATTCTGAACCATGTTTGACTCAATCTAGAAAAACGTGATGTCGAGGAAAAACAATTTCTTTATTTTACATATTGACTTCAGAAAAGCAAATATGCGAGATGTGAATTAATACAATGATTGCACAAATCCATTAACGATTGCATCACAGATGAATGGCAGGAGTCAAGCAGCTGACTTCAAAACTGAACGAATTTATAAAGATAATATAATCGTTTTGTAGGAATCGGATGGTAAATAGCAAAACGGTATGCGCAAATCACAGCTTTAGCATGCTAAGAGTTTTAAAGGTGATCATGGGATACCGATCGATGCTTTTATCCATTTATACCTATTCCGCTTCAATCTGGCGAAAAAGTTATTTGAACTTTTGCAACCAGCTATGATTAAGTAAATATATAAGAATCTCAATGTCTGGTCATGAATTATTGGGAAAGACTAAAGAAACGAACGAGAAAGAAATCGAAAAATTCAAACGAAACATAATGATCATGACGGGCCGGAAATAAGGCAAAAGGAGAAGCAAAAACACAATGAACTTTAGTAACTTTATAGGAATCATCGAATACAAACGTAAAATACCCATGGCAAATGACTAGTGAAATCAAGAGAATAATAATAATAATAATAATATAGATCAATTTCTATAGCGCATTTCCATGTAAATGCTCTAATGCGCTTTACAACACTGTGCGGGGGACTTTTCCAGACTGAGAAAGTATTGTCCCGATATTTTCTCTAGATGAAAATCGATTTAAGGGAATGACTGTATAAAATTCAGCATATTTAAGTCAAAAGTATGAAATGGAAGTCAATGAAGAAACCCATTATTTAATGATATTCCGTGTCAGGATTTAACTGAATCGCCATCTGCCATTTTCAGTGGCTTTTTGTTTTGTATGTGCCCAAGGAAAATTGTAGTTAGGGTTTGTAAAATAGGTCACCACCATATCTACATATGACTTCTATCAAAGCCGTAGGTCAAAGTCCTTTTAAAGAAATTGCATTATTTTTCATTATTGTAAAACAGTAGAAGTGCAAATTGACTTCTGTGAAATCAAAACTCAATTTCAGTCTCATTTTTTGTTTTGTCTTTTTTGTTCTGTTTATGTTTAATTGATTTTTTGGTTTAGTTTGGTCTATGCTTTTGTTTGTTGGTTTGCTTTCCGTTTTTGTTTATACTGGAAAAAAGCAAAAACAAACACAAAAGCAAAACAAAAACAAAAGGAAAGAGGAATATATCGAGAGACCACTAGTAATTGTTAGTCAAAGGACAGCTGTATTCTCCTTGGACTGACGTCATCGTCATGGCGGCGGTAATTGCAGTTTTTGCGATAAAAAGTTCTTCGCAAAATCGTTTCCATCGTCCAGTGCTGCAGGCGTACACTGGTAACGATTGAAAACGGTTGAAATAGTCAAAAAAAAAATGACGCCGAATGGTACGTATTCTTAATAGAGGCGAAAGAAAAGTTGAAGCCCTCAGAACGACTGAAAAAAATATGTCGTGATTATTTTCACAACACCATGTCCGCAAGATTTACAGTTTAAATCAGCGCACTAGGACACGTAGAGTTGATTCAAACTCAGTTTCTGATTTGCATTCGAATAAAATAATCAAAATCACACCCATCAGTGAGTAGAGAAGCAAATGCCTAAAAGGTAATAAACTGCATGAGGCAATGAAATATTTTCCATGTTGGAAATGATTGCATTAGAGATAAGGAATGAATTTTTTTGCTTTTATGAGCTGTGTGTTACTTGCAATCATTCGCTGAATATAGTCATGATTATTTCTTATGCGATGGCGAGCCACTCTGTTTGTTTTAACAAAAAAGGTAATAAAGAGTGAAGTACTAGTGAATTTTAAACCAGAAGATACTTTTGAGTTTCTTCATACTAAACATTCTGGAGTCTAATTCAAATACATGATTAGTAGTAAAAATTTCATTAATGTTAGACTACCCGACTCGATTGGTTCAAAACTATAACAAATGCGAATACGATTTTAATTTCTCATTATTTGAACAATTTCGGCGTGTTTATTTTTTCCGCCCAATTTTTGACATAATGTCACTCTGGAAATAAAATGTTTTCATTTAATTCATATTCTTACATAATCACCACTGAATACAGCAAACAAAACAACCGTTCTACGCGTTCGAATAAACTCCGAAAATGGATCATTCTTTTGTCAACGGAAGCAAGAATTCACTTCGATTTATTTTCTGTATGGCAACACCAATAAGATTTAATCAAAATCATGCCTTATATCTAATAACCGTGGTTGCTTTTCTATCTGTCACCGCATTTATAGGAAATGTTCTCATCTTAATTGCCCTACAGAAGATATCTTCGATTCATCCGCCATCGAAACTTTTGTTCCGTTGCTTGGCTGTCACGGACATTCTTGTCGCCCTCTTAGCAGAACCTCTACATGCTGTTTACTTGTTTTCGATCAGGTCAATGGTAGAAGAAGGAAGCATTATCTGTTTTTACACAGCGACATTCTCGATTACCATTGCCACAACTTTGTGCGGAGTTTCGCTTTTCATATCAACGGCCATCAGTTTGGACCGACTTCTGGCATTGGTGTTAGGTCTTCGCTACAGACATGTTGTAACATTCAAGCGAACCTTTTCAGCTGTGATTAGCTTATGTTTACTTGGCGTCATCTTGATCGCTGTGTCCTTTTGGGGATTTATTCTCAGAAAAAGTGTGTCCTTCATCGCCATAACATTATTGATATTTTGCCTGGCAGTTTCTGCAGTCAGTTACACCAAGATAGTTCTCATACTTCGCCAGCGTGAAAGTCAAATTGCGAGTCATTCACAAGCAAGATTTTCACCAAACGTATCGCGGTTAAGAAAGGTTGTTTGCAGTGCGCTGTGGGTGCAGGTGACTTTAGAAGTATGCTACATCCCTTTCATTGTAGTTACCACAATTTTTGTTTTTAATGAGGGAAGGAGAATTCAATCTTTGTATATCGCCTGGGAATTCACAGGAATTTTGATTTTTTTGAGCTCGTCACTCAACCCGTTTCTTTACTGTTATAAAATCCCGGAGGTGAGACAGGCGGTAAAGCACACAATACGGCAGGTGTTTCGATTATCAAACGAGGAAGATTCAGGGATAAATTGATTTCTACCAACTAGCAATAATTATGAATTAATAAACTGTGTTCAGTGTAGCCTAGGAATTGTTATTTTTGTTTCGGTGTAACCGACAAAATCCGGTGTATAATCAAACCTTCGATTTGTGGTGTGGCTCACAGTTCTTATCCATAGCAACTTATTTCTTTCGAATAAATAGTTGCGATTTAACTCCATATCTTCCCATAGCGTCTACACCGAAGCGAGTTAACTCGCAGGTCTTCTCTCCGCTGGCGGGATTCAAATCTTTTGCATGCAATCGAGACGAGTGGTCAGTCCAAGATGGCGCCCAAGCCCTGGAGTCACCCAGCTTCCAGTAGGATGCAACACGAATAGTTTGCGTTCTTCTTAAGTTGAAGGCTATTAATTGATGCTCATATTATTACCGAGAATCGTTTTTAAAACACTCCACGTTAGAAAACCATACGGGCGCTCGAAGAACTAATTCATGCCTAACTTATTACAGAGGCGTTCGGAATGAGTTCCCCAATATAGAATGGAATATCATCATCAAAAATCAATTGGAGCTATTGACAACGGAAGTTTCGTTTATTCATCAATGTTGCTGCCAAGAGACCGCATGATGGAGGAAGCTGAGAACGAGAGAGTTTAAAAGCACCTTTTACAAAACAAATTGCTCTTTGAAATATTGCTTTATACCCAGTGAAACCTTTCACTTCCAGGAGTTACCAAAAAAGACTTTTTCTTCAAAATTTAGATATAATATAGATCTTTCAAACGAATGGCGATCAAAAGAAAGAGGATTATCAACAAGGGAATACCGTTTGATGAAACATCAAACCCCACAGTCCTAAAATAAAGAGAAAGTTTGACGGACGGAGCTGAGAACTGAATAAAGATGTAAATCTTGGAGGTTAAAAGTCAAAGACTAAACCCTCCTACCTTTCTAAGTTAATCATACTAAAAAATATTTAAGTTAGGATCAAGTGGTCGGATTAAAATAATCTTAAAATTAGTAAATGGTCATGCGCGAATTCGAAGTTTCATCTGTATTGATTCAGAGACTGAGTAAGCAATCGGCAAGATGAGATAATTTCCCACAAAATCAACCGACAAAATTGAGTTCAGTAAGTTGTACTTTTCTTTGAGGATTTAAAGAATGCAGGGAAAATTGATTGCGGAGATGAAAAAAAAATTGATAAAGTTAGAGAGGTATCGTTACAAATTAACAAATAGAAATCAAAAAAACTAGAAATTAACAACTAGAAATCCTATGAAGTATCAATGAGGTTTCTCTTTCCAGAGCGGCGGCGTGTAGGCAGCAGCCGCATTCCTAGTCGTCTTGCCTTCTCCACCTCAATTTTGGAGACGTTGAACAGTATGATAGCTATTTCACTAAGGACAGAAAACTGCCCCCGTGAAGCTTGGCCAAAGGAGTTTGCTCTCAAGGCTGTGAAGATAGTTAGAGGACAAAAATAAGACGGTCCATACTATCATAGTTAACCTAAAACTGGGCGTATATACGTCAATCTGATGAAATATAACTGGTTGATTAACTCACTAAGGACAGAAAACAGCCCCCCGTGAAACTTGGCCAAGGGAGTTTGCTCTCAAGGATGTAAAGATAGTTACAAGACATAAATAAGACGATCCATACAATCATACTTAGCCTAGAACCGCGCGTATATACATGTATCTGATGAAATATAACTGGTTGATTACCTCCAAAACGGCTTCTCATCTGCAGTCTCGGTGGATTCTGGTATTGCACTCGTACTCCTCCTGGTAATCTTAAGTTATTCAAAACTGCTGTAGTACGTAGCTGGTTCGTGCCGGGCATTGGTGCAGTGACGGAGGAAAAATGAGCATGCATGTGAACTGCACTCCTCCTTTGCCAGTCTGTCCATATCTTGTCCACAAAACCATGGTGCAGCATAAACTCAGGAGCAGCAGCCGAGTCGAATGAACACATGGTTCCTCCTATAAAGCAGTGAACAGTGTCATGAAGATTTATTCGCAGCGCAATCTCGAAGGAATCAAATTGCAAATGAGGAATCCTTAGCACTTCTGCGACTGCTGCGGAATCAGGGGGGTTGTCAGTAAGATTAAACTGACGACGAAGACAGCTACCCCCGGCTGATGGCACAACATTCCAAACTCCTCGCCTGAATGGACCACTTGTCACACACTGCTCGGTTGTTTGTTCTCCATTCCCACCAAAACCACTATTTCCTGGAAACCACAGATCGGACGCTCTGCGGCGCCAGGGAGAACGTGATGCTACGCTCCAGTCCCAGTAAGGAACCGTCACTGTGCAGTCCACGCGTCGAAGAAGATTCTCATATTGTAGCATGAACCATCGATGCCATGGTAAGAAAAAATCTCGTTGATGAATCCCTGAATTGAATATTGTTTTATGTTGGGTTAGCATACTGTCATAATCGGTTTTGTATCTGGGATCTGTTGACACAGTGCGGACAGCTCTGACGTATTTTTCACGATCAGCTCTTGACATGGTTGTAAATTCCCGTCTCACTCGTGTGCACTGGACAAAGCGCCCACGAGAACATCTACAACGCTGGCCACACCTATCAGTCACTATGCTCCTCTCCACACAACCTGTGAGGAAACCATGGTAACATATCAGATCTCTAGACACCACGTGCTAAAAAACATTTTTCTTTTTTTATAAGTTCAAGGAAAATAAGAGAGCTAAAAAATTTTCTCTTAGTCAATTAAGGTGATACAGCTTTTACCAAGAGGCACAAAGTATAATCGCTCCTGTACTTTAAGTTGGATAGCTGTCAAGAACTGAAATTAGTTATTAAGAGGATTTCCTCGACTGTCTCTATCTTCACTGAAAGGAACATGACCATGACCTCTCTAATACATCGACAAGACATCATTTGACTACGTCAAGAACATTTTCCAAAGTAGAATCAAGACTCAAGTCTGAAGTGTTACCTGGACAGCGATTGGTATTGCATGAACGGACTAGGATGTTCCTTCCTGGGCATGTGGATCCACCATTTCTTGGAGGGGGGTTGGTACATGTTCTGACTCGTCGCTGTGTTCCTCCTCCACAACTTCTGGAACAGGAGCTCCACCGTCGCCATCCTGACCACCCACCATTGACTGATGTTAAACAGCAACAAACAAACCAACAGAAAAAAAAGCTGTGATACTCGGTTTTCTCATTACCACTTACGCGGTGATTTAAATCGTTAAATGGTTGTTCTAGTTTAATTTTGTTGTTTATCGTGGTTTTATTTAATCGTTTGTTTCACTATGTAGGAGTCCGGCTAATCAATCATATCGTCACGCTTCTGATGGATCATTTATCATTTTCGTTGTCATAATGCTTAAAACATACGCGTTTAATACTTTGGAATTACGAATTCCATAGTCAAAAGGACGCTGCACATTTATAACTACAAACTGGGAATTCCACTTGAGTTACAGCTTTTAAAGTCTAGCTGTTATAACTGCTTATAAAAAAACGCGCGCGTTATTGATTGCGTATTATATAGTCACAAAAAAGTCACTCAGTGTAAAAACTAGCATACCAGGACATCTATTTGAGCTGCAGCTTCTTCTTTGAGAGTTTGAACCTCGGCAGTAATTGCCTCCATTTCTTGGAGGAGGGTTGCTGCATGTTCTGGTCCTGAGTTGTGACCCTCTGCCACAGCTTCGTGAGCAGGAGCTCCATGACTGCCAAGCTGACCATCTTCCATGAACAACTGCGAGGAGTTTTGTAAAAACCACTGAGAAATGCAACATTTTTTGTGATGGGGGAAACAAACATTCTAAGATTCCTTCCCCTACCCGCTCCCCCCTCCCACCCCACCCCCCTCTCAATAGGAAACACTCATTTGAAATGCTGAACTTACGTGTAGCTGGTGACCATAACAGTTTGTAGTCGAAATGTGAAAATGATAGGCGAAAGTGAATCATATTAAAATGCCGATTTGAAAGTAGATGCTCATCTAATCTTTAGGTATAACCACCAACCTAAGGAAGTAAGGTATTAAGTTGAAAAAGCGGCTTAGTACTCGTGCTTTACAGTTCAGATGTGTGTTGTTGGATAAGCTCCATCAGTTAAGCCCGAATGAACTTCCGAGCGGTGGCAAAATCAAACAAACATACAAACTAGGGAAAAAGCGCAGATCGTTAGATAATCAGATTTCTTAATTAGCTCATAAGTATACCAATGCTGACAGGCAAAGAACAGCGAAACTCCTACCTCTAGTTTGGCAGCGGTTGGTATTGCAAAGCTGCGTCTGAGAGTTCGATCCATGACACCTTACGCCACCATTGGTCGGTGGAGGATTGGTACAGCTACGTTTGCGCGTTCGAGTTCCACCATTACAACTGGCACTACACGAGCTCCAACGAGACCAGGGCGCCCAGTTCCCCTTTGCTGATGGTGAAAAAAAAAAGCCAAATTTTTTTAATTTAAAGAATCTTACAACGACGAAATCAAGACACAGGCTAACTGAATTAAATATCAGAATATATATCGGCACTGAGGTCAATATGAAAGGAGAAAGATGAGGACTTTTTTTTTCTTCAATCATGAGGATTTTTTATAAAATAATCAGCAGTGAAAATTTGAGAAATGAATTTATCGTATCCCTGGGAAAACATGATCAAAACAGGTATAGTCAGCGGTTACAACCTGATCCTACATTTAATAATGTCACCTGGTGATGAACTTTGAACCGGGTACACGTTGCCAGACCCAAGCCAACCTATTCCTCTATAACAATATGAGCCAAGGCCATAGTTTCCGTATTCCCTTTCAGCGCTTGGACCCCAGCGACAATCTGCGAAGTCCTGAATAGAAAATATCCGATATCCTTTGGCGGCGGCCGCACTGGCGCATGATTGTATGATGTGGTGACTATCAGGCCACCACCTTACAATATTTACTCTTAAGAACAGTATGGAAAATATCCTTTGACTTGGGTGGGTCGTTCTATCTTGGTAACACCCTAAAGACGTAACTGAAACCGGGCCTGGAAGTAAACAGAAAAACAAATTTACATATTAGGGAGACATGTCACGTTTATGCTACATACGAGCTCGTGGAGCGTAAAATGCTTTTCCCGGGATCCTAGTCTAGACAAATTCTCCCCCCAAAACTTCCCGTTTTCGACACTTTTTCAAGTTTTGTGACAGTTAGGTGGTCCTGGCCTGAACTCCTTCCCTTTTACTTCATGAGATGATTTTTCATTATTGTTAAACGACCAAAATGATAAAACATTTTGATTCAGATGGCGAGAAAGCATTAACTCAAAGAAGCAAAATGGCTTGAAAAATGCTAATTCCAGTGAAAAACAGCGTGAATGTCAACATAACACGCACTGAGGTACGCTGTCTGGATTTGACAAAATGTCCTCCCACCTCTACCCCACCCTTCCCCCTCCCTTCTCCCCCCCGGCCCTGTACGGCACCGTACAGCTGCATGTCTGTCAATGACAACGTTTATAACAACAGAAAATGGAAAAATAAGCTCTTGTTTTACTCGGTCATCTTCTGCTACTTGAATATCTACTGAAGACAACATAGCAAACTAATATTTTGTTTACACCAGGGTAAATATTTTCACCGTATTTCACAAACGGCTGAAAACGGATGGAAAGTAGTTCAATCGAAGATGTGCCAAAAAAATGTGATTGCCGAGATAAATAGGGAACTTCAGACCAGACTTGCGCAAAATGCCCTTCTGACTCGAGTGGGCCATGGTGTTTGGTTGTTTAAATATTGTGAGCAGCCGTATCTTCGAGTCCCATTTTTTTTTTTTTAATGTGATGACGTAATGATGATATCATTATTCCAATACTGGCATCTTTTTTTCTCAGAAAAAGCTAATTTTATTTTCAAAAACATTTATGTGTCGCTAATTATATTGCCTAAGAAAATCAATACGAAAGTAAGCAAAAATTTCCTAAATATTCTTCCTTCATTACTAAACGATATGCAAATAAAAAGACCCGTAGTTTGAGACTCAGACGTTTTATTTCCTGCGTCTTTGCGTCGGATTTCCAAATAACAGCCGTAAATGACACCAGCTAACGGGAAATGGGAAGGAGAGATGAATTTGACCACACAGTTACCCGTTGGTCATTTCGCAATTACGCGACAGATTGGAATATCACCCAGCGCATAGGACTGATCCCTTCATGATATTACATAAGTGCCCTATTATTTTAATCAACACTGGCCTATTTAAAATGAAAAATATAATTATTCGATGAGAGTTTTTGTGGTCTCATCGTTTCTTAACTGAATCGCAAACACGACACGAATCGATTTTACACAGAACCTGTTTCTTACTACTCTATTATGAAATCGTAACCGAGTACATCGTTGAAGTTTTTGTTGTCTTCTCATTTCTTTTTTCAGTCAGCTTTTTAGTTTTGAGGCTAGTGATATCGTGTTTCGTAGTGTCAGTTACCTTGTCTTCTGGAATTAGCGTTTTGGCAGTGAACGAGGAGAATCAGTAACATGTATAACTTCCTCCAGGCTGTCTCAAGTGCCATTTTGCAGTCACTCTACATAATACGAAATAATAGTTAGATTATTGTAGTGTTGAAAACTCTTAAACACTAATCGCTTTAAAGGACTAAGAAATCTTTCTGCGGTTTCAAATGCTTTTTCAATAGTAAAGCTAGGATACTTAAGAAGACCCTATTTTAGAAAGAACAAAATGTTATTTTCTTGCGAAAGAAAACCGGTTACTTCAGAAGAAGTCATCTTGACAAACCTTGGGGAGATTGTCCTGACTAAAGTTTAAACGCCGTTGCTGTTTAGATTTTTTCCATAAAGCCGTGGTGTATTTCGAACAATATCTAACAATTTTGGAAGAGTTAAAACATATCCCTAAAGCAACAAAATTAATACCTTACACACGTATCTCTAAGACAAAGCCATCTTCAAACAACATAATAAAGAAGATACTGTAATTAAGAATGAAATCTTACCTGAACAAGTTTAGACGAGAGAATCTCTTCAACACAAGGTATGAGATGCGTAGTCACTTCTTCATTGATTAAGTCAGTTAAAAATCAGCTGTAGTCCTGGTCCAATCAAAAGTCGTAAGAAAGACAAACTAAGGTAAAAACATTTTTCACCGCATCTTTCAATCTTTTCGATAGCTTTTAAGTACGTGCTTCATTATTGACGCAACAAGACATTCTTAATTTGACCGCAAACACTTTCATGGCGAAGGCAATATCATACAGTAATCAATTTAACAGTATTGGGCTCTCAACCGGACTGGTGGTTATATTCGATACTGATTGACCTTGGTTGAGGTTGAAAGGGGTCGACCAATAAAGCTATTTTTTACCTTTATTTAAAAGAACGAACCAAACTGCTGTGGGAGGCATGACGAGTTTTCCTTCGGAATAGGGCGATATTTCCTCATGTGATTTGTTATATTGTCTTTCAGACACAAAAAGCAAAGACCTCATGTCCTTACGAATTTGTGCTTGTTTTATTTTTGGATCAAGTTGATAATTCCACAGGAAAACGTTTACGCTCAATTAATATGCAAAGCGTGAAATGTAAGATCTGAAGAATTTTTTGAAGGGTTTTTAACGTAGGTTTTGAGCTTTTTATAGGATGGGAAACTTTTGCAACTTGATTTAAGTTCTTGATCTCAAATAAGAGCGACAAGTGAAAGCTTTGTTATAAACATGCGCTCGAGTGATATTATAGTGCAAGTCTTCGTGCATGTGCAAGACAGTTATTTGGAAAAATTACCGTACGCCAAGATTTAGTTAATAAATGAAACATTTTAATTTATTTTGCATGAAATCATTGTTTAACTCCTGAGATGTACCGAATGATTTGTTCAACGTTCCAAGGAGAGGTGGCTCAGCTATAAGAATTAGTACATGTATATTGAAATCCCTGTTGTGCTATTTCGAAAGTCAATGGTCAAAGTTTATCATGACATCATGTGTGTGTTGGACGGTTTACGTAATGCATGAGACATAAAGCCTGTGTGGTAGTTAACGTATACTTTTTACGACTGCAGCGTATTAGAAGCGTTTTTTTCTTGCGTCTTTAGTTATACAGCCAAAAGTTAATATTAGCAACTTCAATTGATGTGTATGATGCACGATCCTATCTCATTCAATTGATGTGCTCCTAATATAACGCATTTTTACCATATTAAAATTCTCAGCTGAGACCATCAATGAAATTTTGACAAGAATATCAAGGTGTTTAAATGAGTCTTTGAAATATCGTACAGCGCATGATTTAAGGACTGCAGGTGTAGTTGTGGGAAAAAACCAACAAAGGCTCTTCCCATGATTCCAGATGGGAGAGGTCGATGAAGACCACAGGTTTCCCTTATAATGTAATACTTGGCCAACCTCGTTCCCAGGGCCTTTTCCCTTAGTTGGGGGTGGGGCACCCCAGCCAAGGGAAAAGGCCCTGGGAACGAGTTTGATACTTGGCATACCTTGGCATACATTTGTCATTAATAGATCAATGAATACACTTTGTGTGTTTTAAAGTTACGTTGAATACAAATATGATTAAGGAACATTAACTATCGCCTTGAAGGTGAAGGCGAAGATTTTTTGAGGGGTATCACATGATTTTCAGGGCGAAGGGAGGGGAAATCAGTCGTCGCTAACCGAGTTTGAAGGGGAGGGGGACTATAGAAAATTGATTGCCAATTAACTGCCAACGACTGAGGGGGGAAGGGTCAATTATATCTTAACGTAAAGCAGCCAAAATTCTCGATCCATCCCCCAGGTGATAAATTATGATCAGTCCCCGTGTGTGCGCTTTAAGGAACGGACACCATTGGCATCTTCCACTTCACCCCCACCCCCTTCAAACAAAAAGTCAAATTGTGAGCCTAGCCATTAGATATGATTAATCTTAGAGACAAATAACACTAAAAATAGTAGTAATGAAGATGATAAAAAATTGTAATTTCTAAGGTTCCTTTTCACAAATGTACATAAGATTTTTATAACACTGGAAATCGTTCCAAACTCCAATTTGCGGTGGACCGGCAGGCCAGAATACTCCATTAGCGATTTCACCACAATCCTGTTCGTCATCTTCATTATTTGGTTGTTCATCGGCCCAGTTTGAATAGTTTGCAGGTGATCCATCTGTCCAGACGAATTCTCCTTCCTTGAGTCTGTCCGTGAGTCCAATCCACGCCTCTCGATTTACCTCGCCTTTTGGGATTTGCAGGAATGTACTCAGCAAATAGCTGTTTTCTTCCTCAGAATCTATGTTGGCCAGGTGAGAACTTGCTTCTAGACAGTTATCGTTTGCACCATCCCATGATTTCTTTTCCGTGAACAGTTTGTAGCAGCTAGAATTCTCCCCAGGCGTCTCCCATCCTTCTTCGCATTCTTTAAAGAGGAAACAAACAAATAAACAATCAAATTAGCCAAAACCATATTTTTTTTCCGATTTCCAGTGGACTCTACCGCCATAAAGCTGGCCACCTTTCCGATAAACGGGAATTTAACGCTTACCTGCAATACAGTTAGCGATAAGAAATGCGAAAATGATTCCATCCAACCTCATCATTGAGCAATTCTACAAAAGAGGCAAGTTTAGATGCTCTTACAAGTTGTTTTTAATTTTTTTCTTGTGTCGTAAAAGCTGGAATATTATAATGTACTTCTCTTTTCATCATAGCTTTATTGAGCGCTTCTAAGCAGGATATTTTCCCCATAAAATATAACTTACCTTTGAAGAAATCTTAAGAGTAATTGTTGTGTTGCTCATGAGTGGTCTATCGTGCACCAACTCCCCCTCCCCCCCCCACCCTCTCCGCCGCCAATTTAGATTTCGGTCGTAGGCAAAGTAGTCAGGGATGAAATCTCGAGGACGAGGAGAAAGTGTGAAAGGCTGTGGATTAACCTTCCTCTTTACTTATGACCTTTATACCAAATAGTGAAGTGATAGATTAAAGGCATACCATTTTTGTCACTTTGCAATTATACCCAACCATACTACAGCTTTCTCTGTAATAAAAGTCAGTCCCCCACTATCCGAGTTAAGTGAACGTCGATGTCTTCTCAAAATATCTGAGCTTGTCTGTCCTATTCTAGAGTTCATTTCCTTAAAGGAGAAATTTTCGTCTGGTACAAATTCACGTTAGGAATCGAAGAATCAGGGGCCAACAAAAAGCATGAGTTAAAACCGTAAGATTTGAGACTACATCCCTTTTTACCATCGAAAGGCTACAGGAAGCTAAGAAAATTACTCTTCTATAAGCTATAATACTCTGAAAGCCTAACTAGTTAAAATATTTAGACACATTCGATTTGGTAAATGCCTCATCTCAGTCACCCAGCAGTTCACTTTGAGTACAGCTTGGAATACTCTCCAGAGATGTCTTACCTTATATTGGCGACCAATATCATTGGTAACAACGATTAAAAATTTAAAAAAAGACACAAGCTAATATCCTTCGCTCTTTAATTTCCTTAGTAGTGCCGGGGAGTTCTTCTCTCAAAGTCAGCATTCAAAATGTCGCTTAGTTAATTAAACGCAGCTTTTACTCAACACCTTATAAAATCAAAAAATCAAGTCATGAAAATAACATATTTTTCTACACAGACGATGATAACTAGAAAGGTGAAAACAAGCCGGCAATTTGAAATAAGTTTTAAACCTCATTTCACGTGTTTAAATGTAACACTATACAACACGCTTACCTCTATAAAACACTTCTATGCGTCTCGTGAATTCCCGCGTTCTTTCGTTAAAGCAGAATTCTATTTGAAGCCAGGCATAAAATGGAACGATATGTTTTAGTCTTTGTAACACTGATTCGACTATGTGATGAATCGAGCCACCAGAAGGAAAATCCGCCGTTACCTAATGCTGTTAAGGATTTTCGCACCTTTGATATGGCCACCAGTTTGACAAGAAACTGACGCGACCATTTGAAACAATAATGCTGTATCACACCTCTTCAGAGTAATCAGATAAATGCATGAAGAATCGACCGCATCGATGCCCTCGTCATGTAAATTGTATTGTTTTTATTCCCCTCTATTGTGGTCGTGCAATGTTTTACTTGATAAATTTGAGTAAATTATGTGCTGGGTTTTAAAGGCTTTTTACTTAAACGAAGGATCTGCTTACTGAAACGTTGAATTTCAACCAGTCCTCCACCCCCACAATAACATTTTTTCTTCGTCGTTTCAACTTCTGATCTGAAAATGTTAGAAGATTTGAAGATGAAAATGCACAAGGCAAGAATTAGACAACCTCTAGGAAAACCAAATGTTACTTTAATGAAATAATTGCTGTTTTGTTCCCTGAGGGACTACTAGAATGATTTCCTGAAATCCCGTTGCTTCTTCTCTGTTTTGCTATAAAGTTATATCGAAGTTGTGTTGGTTTCTCTTCCCCAGATGCCAACTGCTAAAGCAAAAATTATTAGAAGCATTCCAGTCAATACTTCAGTTTATAACAGGAGAGCTCACCCTCCCAGTCGTCAATCAAAAGGACGTAAATAACATCCTTATAAAATCTTTCGAATGTTTGAATCTAGGTGCTGCTGGCGCAATCATGTCCTGTTAGAGGTCAGCCGCAGGTATATCGATGAATAATGGTGATTTAGGGAACCAATCGGATGGCCTCAATGCATACCACCTGCTTTTACATTCGCAATAATGACTATAATAACTATGCATATGAGAACGATCTTAGCAGTGAGCAGCAGTGTTTAAGTAATAGTGAAATTAAGACCTGAAAAAAATTCAGGCCTGTACGGGATTTGAACCCATGACCTCTGTGATGCCAGTGCAGTGCTTTAGTAACTGAGCTAACCAGCCAACTGGGAGTTGGCTTGTTAGCTAACTGACTGAGCTAACAAGCCAACTGGGAGCTCCCAGTTGGCTTGTTAGCTCAGTTGCTAGAGCACTACACTGGCATCGCAGAGGTCATAGGTTCAAATCCTGTACAGGCTTGAATTTTTTTCAGGTCTTAATTTCACTATTACTTAAATACTGCTGCTCACTGCGAAGATCGTTCTCATATGCGTCTCTGTAACCGGAGTTTAAATATATGATTCTCATATATTCTTAGCATTTAATAACTATGATGACGATAGCCAAATGCAAAGGCAGTAGCAATAAAGTGTACAGACTGTTGGGTTTCAAGCAAATAAATTCGACAGCTTCAGTTGAGATATACTTGTAATCGGATGTTTGTGTAAAGTGAGAAACACAGGCGAGACATTGACTTACGTTCAAATCACAGTCTTTCAATAATATAGTTCTTTAACATTGAAATTGTACTTTGAACGCAAAAATTTATCAGTTACTCATCCTTTTCACATATAAACATTAACGCCCGTTTACATTGGAAATCATTCCAAACTCCAATTTGTGGCAAACCTCCAGGCCAGAAAACACCATTCGCAATCTCAGCGCAGTCTTGCTGGTCATCCTCATCATTGGGTTGTTCGGCTGCCCAGTTTGTGTACTCTGGTGTCGAACCATCGGTCCACACAAATTCACCTTCCTCCATCTTATCCGAAAGTCCAGTCCAAGCCTCACGATTTGTCTCATTTGATAATAACTGCAGGAAACTGTTCAACAAGAAGATGTTTTCATCAGCAGACTCAATTTTTACCAAATGGGCTCCAGTTTCCTCGCAGTGCGACTTCGCATCATCCCATGACTTTTTTTCCTCAAACATTTTAAAACAGTTGCTGTTGAACGATTTCCATCCTTGATCACATTCTGAAATGAACAATCAGCAAAACTATTTCAAAGACTAAGGTAATTTGGTTATATCAACAAAGTTGAAATTGTAAATTGGCCACCGCAAAGAGTTAAAAGAGTTATAAAGCTGAGCTTTCGAGCATTAGCCCTTCGTCAGAGCGAAAGTGTTGCCAATTTAAAACTTCAACTTAATTAATATAACCAAATTACCTTGCTAACCCCACCTACGCAACACCACAGTTTCTTTAGAAACGTACCCCCTAATTTCAAAGACTCTTCGACGAACAGCAAAGGTATCTTGGATCTTGGATAAGCCCCATTGTCTTACCTGCAGAACAACTCCCCAGCGTCACTAACATTGCTGTGATAATTCCAAGATACTCCATCACTACCTGCTAAAAAATCAATAGAGTATCACTAGAACAAATAGATACGTTCCATATTATACTATTCTTTATTGTATTGGTTCTTTAACTGTAGTCTCTCCCCACTAAATTCGTGAATCTACAGAAAAGAACATAGCGTCAAGGACACGAGCATCTATGTTTGAGTCTTTTTTCAACGGCCGGCGAACCAAAGTCACCAAGAGCTGACCTTGGTCAACGGGGATATTAAATGTATAGAATTTAATTCGTCAGAAACAAGTTGCCTGAATGATCTCAGGTATTTCGATAGCAAAACGAACTAAGCGTGGTCAGGAGTAAAATGTAAGCAAACAAGCAAACGAGAAGAAAATTTAACGAGAAGCAAGCAATTCGTCGGTAACGGATTAGCTTGACGACTTATACGCGCTAAGTTGGCAAGAGGTAACTAGGAGAATTAGGTAGATAGTCTAAATAATGGTGAGAAACGCAAAAAAGAAATTTAACCAAATTCCAAAAAAAAAAAAAAACAAATAAACAAACAAACAAACAAGCTAAACAACAGACAGGAAACGACAATTGCCATGGAATGTCTCGCGAAGTTATAATTTATAAATCAGTTAGGGAGCCAAAACATCATCGCTCCTTTTGAAATGGTTGATCACTTATTGATCTTTTATTCGATAGCAGTCTGTCACTTGAATACTACACCATTGCAACAGAGTTCGCTTTGAGTCGTCATGAACTAATACAATAACTAATTGGATAAAAGTACAAGTCAGTCATAACAGCAAGAACATTACTTTGACGTATGCTCCTTGGTCAAATTTTCTATTTGATCACTTTTCTTTGATAGTCTCATGAAACGGCTAACTGTTACAGCTAGGCAATTACCTTTGTTGTATTGCTCTGAGAGTCTTGTTTGGTCTAACTCTGCTCTGCAGTAAGATGCGATGTTCATTTGACTATGAACCTGATACGGGTAGCGTTGGACACCACCTGTAAAGCTATCACAGAAGAAGTACGCTCCTACTGTTTTAGGAGAGGGTCGATTCACCATTCATGAATAAGGCCACCAGAGCAGCGCAGTCGCTTTAATCATTTAGTTATTACTTGGCTCCTTAAAGGAACTAGGGGTAGAAATAAAAAAAGTTGTCAGTTCTCACAAGATTTCAATTAGAAATCTGCAAAACATGATGCACCGTGATAACTTTTCATCTCTATTTCATATTACATCTACTGGAGTACCCAACGGAGAGAAAGAAAAGCGAGATTCGAATGCATTTGTCTACGCAAACAAAGCTTGCGGTATTTTGGACTTTAAAAATGACATTTCCCACGTTTTCCAGGAACAATTTCACTAACATAAATATAACTGTTGATTTTGTTCGCTTTAAAACCGGCAGACTTTGATAATTAAATTTAAAGGCAGGGCCCGAAACTAACCGTAGCGAACTAACCACAGACTAGTAGAAATTCAGTTGTGGCTTGTGGTTTTCGATCTCCAGTGGCCAGTTTGACTAGTAAACAATCTGAAATTGTCGAATCTTCTTTGTACTCAGGAATGAAACCATACTGCTGCGTTCCAAAAGTCCAATTCACACCAAAAAGTATATTTGGTAAAATCTCGCACATCATTAATTCTCTTTTCTGCTCTGAAATATTCTGCGCAGAATTCTTTATCGAGCAGCAGTTTCCTTTGACTGAAAAAGATAATTTAAAATTTAGGAATAACCAAACTCCCTAAACGAGCTAGTAATGGAATAAGGGAAACTTTATCACAACAATAAAGGTTGACGCTTAGGTGCTAACTTGTTCAAGAACTAAATGCAACTTTTAATGTGTTCAATTTTATTTTGATATTCATCACAATCTTATGCGTCAGGTACAATTTATGAATTTATGTGATATTTCAATTAGCTATAAGCTTGAACTAAATCAAGGGCTGCAGTAGCTTCTCCAATTCTTTTGCTCGTTTCACTTCTGATGGCTTTAGGTGGAATGTCTTTATTATCTTCTCAGTGACACCAGAAAATTGTCTTCGTGGAATACGATGGAGAGCATTGAGACTCAGTCCTGTTAAAGAGAAACGAGAGGAAACAAGCAAATTTCCCTTGATTACAACATTACACTATGCGGAGTACCTAGTATGGGTGCTGCGGATACTCATGACAGATGCTTTAGAGATATGCTTTCCTAAGGCCCAAGCAGAAAATTTAGATTGTTTGTTTGTTTTGCCAATGAAACCACGAAGTTTCGAAAGGGATTTTTGAAGAAATTGTTCATTGCTAATTGACTGATGAATTAATTAAATAAAAGATCCCGTAACATTTGTATGAGCTTCGCTCATTTTTTCCGCTTTCGAGAAGAGTCCCTCAAATATAGTTTCACATAAAAAGGAAAACACACTCACCTCTTAAAAGAGGCAATAAATTAGAACGTTTCTTGGATGCCTGATATTCCACCCGGGCACCTCCCGGCTGCGATAAAAGGTTGACTATCTCCCGTGGTTGCAACTCAGAACCTGGCATAGTCTCGTTGATACCAGGAAAGAAGGCATTTCTATGGGCGTCGCTTTTCCTCTGCCATTCGTCCCAAATCTTGTCAATAAATCCGTGGTGAAGAAAAAACTCCGGGGCGGCAGCTGAGTCTATCGAGCACATGGTTCCGTCTATCAAGCAGTGCACAACGTCGTGGAGATTCACACGGAGCATGAGCTCAAAATCGGTGAAGTTACTCGCTGGTATAGTTAAGACCTCTTGAACTGCTACGGAGTCAGGAGGGTTCCCATTAAACCTCCGTGCTAAACAACGAGGACCCGGTTCCGGTAGGGAATTGGCGGGGAGTGGCACGATGCTCCAGTTAGCCTCTCTGAATGGTCCCGTCTGGACACAGCTATACGACCCTACGCCGTTCCCGCCAAAACCAGTGTTCGCGATGTGCCATAAGTCTTTACTATTCTCCGTGCTGAATGGATTCGCAGACACTGAGCTCCAATCCCAGTATGCTACCGTGAAATTACAGTCTACTCGGCGAAGGAGGTTCTCGTAAAGCAACGTAAAATAGCGATGCCATGGAAGAAAGTGCGTGCGTCCATGAATTCCAGAAAAAAACAGATTTCTATGCCGATTGATCAACTCATCATAGTCCTTCTTAAATTTTGGGTCAGTAGAAGCTGTCAATAGGACTCTAATGTAGCGTTCTCGCTCAGGAAATGTCATGGAAGTGAATTCTTTTCTTATCCGTACGCAGTTTACAAACTGGCCTTGAACACAGGTGCATCTCTGTCCGCATTGATCAAATGAGGTACTTCCTTCTTGGCAATCTAGAGATAAAATCAAGACCAAAACGCTTTATAAAAATATCCATAAGAATATTACATATCATCACAAAAATTTCAAATCGTAGCAAATGTAAGGAATCCTTGTTGGATGCACAAAAAGAAAATAACATATTTGTATGCCAACAATTTGTACAAGATCTGATTACAAATGATTACATATGATTTCTTTGGGACGGTGTCATCAAGCCAAAGTTAAAAGTACTATACAGAGTTACCCTGATCGCCTGTGGCTAAAATCATCATATAAAAAGATGGTTTAAAAATTGATTTAGCAAAAGAACACATTTTTCCGGCTCCCTAACATGATGAAGCAACGCGGGATGTTTGGAGAACACGAGGAGAGCTATTAAATCTTGATCTTTTAAGCTTTCCGAGTGTTCTCGCAACATCCCAAGTGGCTTTATCACGTAATAGAGCCCGGTAAAAATGCGTTCTACTGCTTTTGTGACATAACTAGTTACATGTGGGGTCTATAACATGATAAAGTATCCGCTTGGAAATTGAATTGACCAATCCGATGATCTTCACTATGTTCACTATAACATGATAAAGTATTCGCTTGGAAATTGAATTGACCAATCCGACGATCTTCACTATGTTCACTGTAGCATGATTAAGTATCCTCTTGGAAATTGAATTGACCAATCCGACGATCTGCACTATGTTCAGTATGTTATAATGAGAGTTTAGTAAATAAATGGTAAACACCACAGCGTACACTATTGAGTTATAGCTGCACGCGGGAGGCTGCTAAGCACGAAAGAAGCGTAAGTGTCGCTCGAGGCGATAGCAGAGAGCGACTCTAGCTTCTTGAGGAAGCCCCTTTGAGTCACTAACATATTGTTAGACATACCTGGACACGTATTACTGTTACACGCTTGAGACTCCAAGCTACTTCCTGGACAATGAAGGCCACCATTGGCTGGAGCGGGACTGTTACATGTGCGACTGCGTGTTTCAATTCCACCACCGCATGTTTGGGTACAGCTGCCCCAGGCTCCCCAGTTTGACCAACCACCATTCACTTAGTCAGAAATTATTGTTGCGTGTTAGTTTGATACAAAAGTATGTAAATCACTTTTCTGAGAAAAAAACTAGATTAAATGAAGCCAGATAATCTTCAATCACAATCTATCAAACACAATTGGCTAAGTGAAAGTACAATGAACTTCCCCGACATAAAAACATCTTGGAATTTAACTCTTACAATAACTTATTAATGTTTACCACAGGTAATGTGAGATAGTGAAAAGTAAAGTCGATCTCTACATGACAAGTACAGTGCGTGAAAAAAATCCGTATCATTTTCTATGCGGTTGTATGCACTTACATCACTGAATTTGCTCCCTTCAACGAAAAAGCGTTTCCTTATCATATAATCCACAATTTTCTGAAGGATTACTAAGGGGTACTAAGTATGAAAATTTTTGTCCGCATCATCCTTTAAAAAAAAAACTCTTACCTGGACAGCTATTGGCATTGCAAAGTTGAGATTGAGATCCAGGTCCTTGACATGCAACACCGTCACTACATGTGCGCACGCGTGATCGGATCCCATGATCACAAGTTTGACTACATGTGCTCCAAACTCCCCAGATAGACCATCCGCCATTTACTCAAATGGAAAAGAAAATTCACGCTACATATAAGTTTTTATTTAAACGGATTTTGATAGAAATATGATTCAGTCTCTTACTTGGACATGACTGGGTGTTGCATGGTTTTGAATGATCAGTGTTTCCTTGGCAAATGGTTCCCCTTCTGCTCGGGGTAGGATTGGTGCGAGTACGCTTACGTGTCTGTGCACCACCACCACAAGTCTGACTTCAACCACCCCAGATCCCTACTCGTTCCATTTACCATGAACCAGAAGCAACGACAAAATCTTACGCCAGAAACCGATCTCCCTGTTAATTTCTCTTTACCTCCTAATTTTTCCTACTTTCACATTCTTTCGTGTTGCAAGGTTGAGACTGGGAGTCGCTTCCCTGGCAAGTAAGGCCATCTATACTCGGCGGAGGACTGGAACAGGTGCGCATCCGCGTTTGTTCCCCTCCACCACAAGTTAGGCTGCATTCGCTCCAGGCTCCCCACGCTGACCAGGCGCCATTAACTAAAGAATCATTTTGTCAGCTTGGAATTACGCGTTAACGCATTTCAGACAATTTGACGCCAGTCCATGTTTGATTAAAAAGCTAATGGCTCCTTAGTGCGATTAAGTAGTTATGGAGAACGCGTTGTGACGCTCATACAAAGATGTCTATTTCATACATTAAAAGTGAACATAAAAAGAGTGAGGGAAAGAATTCTTGAGAGAGAACTCCTTATCTCACCTGGACAACTGTCAGTGCTACAGGACTGAACCTCAACAGAATTATTCCCGACGCAGTGGGCACCGCCAGCTGCCGGTGAGGGATTAGTACATGTCCGCGCGCGTGTTTGTCTGCCACTGCCACATGATAGGCTGCATATGCTCCAAGTTCCCCAGGAAGACCACCCACCATCAACTTAGAAAATAAAGAAAATTATTAAAGTTCTGAAGACATGATCTGCTTTATAAGATATTCACTATAAGAGACGTTTGTGAATACCAAATCACGCTACAGCAAATAAATATATAATAGAGGTAAATAAAGGGGATCAGGTTTCTAAAGAAACTATGGTGCTGCGTCGGTGGGCGTTACAAGGTAACTTTGTTTTTATCAGCTGAGTTGATATTGTGAATTGGCCACCTAAAAGAGATTCAAAGCTGACGTATCGAGCGTTAGCCCTTCGTCAGAGCAAATGGGACCATCCGCCATTCTTCAAATAATAGAAGTGACAGATATCAACGCAGTTCCCATCTGCGTTGAGCTTTGAGAGTTATTTTAAGACTTAAGCGATTATTTCATTCTCACCGGGACATCCTTCTGTGTTGCAGGATAGGGTCTGGAAACCACTGCCCTGGCAGCTTACACCACCAGCGCTGGGAGGGGGATTAGTACATGTTCTTGATCTTGTTTTTGATCCACCACCACAAGTCCGACTGCAGCTGCCCCATTGACTCCAGAGAGACCATCCGCCATTTACTTCAAATAAGGACAAAGAAGAATAGAGACACTCATGAAGTATAACGTGTAATGCTGCACGATCTGTCGCCCTCAGGTGTGTTACACCTCGGCTGTGTGCGCACTACCACTCTCTCAGGATTAAGATGCCTTCGCCCCCAACTCCCCCTCCCTCCCAGGTGCTTTGTCAAACATTAGCGCTGAAACATGGATGTTTCTCAGCACAAATTTAAAATTCAGGTCCGAGAAAATCACTTCGTACCGGCTTAAGGCGTTATGTCTGCATTTTGTGCGGCGCTCAATATGCTTTTATGTTATTCTACATTACCCTTAAAACACAGTAATAACGCAAGGATATCAATTTTTTCTCAATAAGCTAATCAAGAACGGAAAGGTCTTAAAGTAGATATTCAAGTTCCGAAAATATTTCTATGGCTTTTTTTTGTTTGTTTTGAAGCTCTTTTGACGCTTAACCTTTTCATATAAGCAACTCTTAGTTTTAATCAGAACTGCTACTTCCTCACCTTTCGGTTTTATAATCTTAAAGACGGAAACAGCCCTCGGTCCTCCGATGGTGAGGAAACATCCAGACACTTTTTTCCCTTTACTCGTTACTGCGAGACCTTCTGGGCCCCAGGAACACACTCCATAGTTCTTGATGGCAAAGTATGTATAATTTCTCTTAAAGGCCTCTCGAGCACAGGCCCGTGTTACGTGTCTCAAATCAGGTAGCTTTGTCCAATCTATACGGTACCTGTAATCTAGATACGCTTTGTAGAACAACGAGTCGTAGGGGGGTTCTAGGTAACAGCCCAGGTAGGACACGTGAAAATGACCTGATGCTACAAGAAGAAGAGTGAATTAATCATTTCATATTAGCATTTTGTATTGCTGTGTTTTGTTCTTTTCATTTTTGTATAAAAATGTGTTTTCGTGTAAATGCCCTTTGACTCCTTTTTTTCTAATCCTGTTTCTTCACGCAAAGAACAAAGAAAAAATGAAAGAATATAAAAGAAAACGGAGGTGAAAAGAAAACGGAAGGGCAGCTTGTACCTTTGTTAAAGCAAATCGATCGTGATAATAAGTGTGTGTCGCTCAGTTTCAAATGGTGAATTGATATATTAAACCATCTCACCAGAACATAGAAATAGCCGAGGAACTCCACAGGTTTTTGGAGTGTTAGCATAATAACAAGCTTCTCTTTTAAGTTGCTTTGTTATACGATTTCTCAACATTTCAACCGGCAATAATCCAAACTTTTATAACATTTCCTATTTGCTAGTCTTGTCTTTTCAAGCAAAAGAGAGTTCTGCTCATGTACATCTCGTGAAACAATAAAAGCAAACCAGGCGTGATATGAAATGTCTCATCAAATATATTGGACCACCTTAACCCAATATAGAAATACCTGAGTAGCTGTACAGGTGGTTGATATATATTGGACCACCCTGATACGATATAGAAACCTGAGTAACTCTCCAGGCGGTTGAATGGTAATTAGTACTCAGCTTTTTTACTCATTTCTTTCATTATTTAATTTCTAAACTTAAGGACTCTAAATAGATGATTCATATAGAAGCGTAACCTGTAAATATGCTTTACGGTTAATTTTTTCTTCGTTATTTGATCTAGAAATCCTCACCATCCATTTCACAGCAAGCTAAGAGTGTCACCATCAAGAAGAGAGCTATAGTTCTCGCCATTGTTATCAATGAGATCTGAAAAGAGGATACGAATATTTACTACCTACTACAATCAACTTTGAAGCCAAATTAGCTTTTCAGCCACCCAACTGATTAAAAAACAAATAATTTAGCAAGTAATATTGTATATTCTGATAGTTCTTTTAGCCAGCCAGGGGTTGTCACGGTCGAAATATCCTTTTCCGTGCCAGAATAAAAGAAAGACTCGTTATTATAGAAAGCGAAAAATCCAATAACCCGCTATAATTATTGTGAATCTCGGTAAACAACGGCTAAATATACTGAAACATACGGAAAATAAATGGGTTAGAAAAACATCACTCCTCGTAGCATTCTTTTTCAAAATCATCCCCAACGTTTTTGGTAGACGTATAAAAAGAAAATAAATTTTTTAAGAAGTGATTATGAATTCTGTTACACGTCGTGTCTCATTTCAATTCTTTTTTCTTTAGATTAGTCAATGATTAAGTCAAATAATAACACCTTATTCATTCAATCACCCCATATTAGCGAAAAGAAATCAACAAAAGACAACACATTTTACTTTTCTACGACGCCAATGTGGCTTAAGATTTTCAAATATGTTCTAATAAATCCTGTAATTTTGATAAAATTTCATACCACACAGAATGAATGAGATGTCGAATAAAAAACAGAATTAAAATATTTGACAAACAGGTGAAGTATTACCTTGGGCACTTTAGTATACAAATGCACTAGCTTCGATGATGATGAAAAGGTTTTTTTGTTCTGGATCAGTTAAAATCGTGAGCCAAAAAAAAATTGTTAAAAACGACACCTTAGAATTAGTCAACCACTTGACTTACCGTGCGCGTTGTCTCGAACGCTGTCAAAGGACTACTGCTGGCAGTGGTAGCTATTGTAAAAGTTCTTCTTTGTTAGTGTTTTTTTCAAAGATTCTACTCGAACAATGCAATCATTGAAGTCAAATCTCAAATATCAACTCAATATAGCTCTATTATATTATCATTTTCATCATCATTTTTCATTGTAACTAACTTATTGGACGATATTTTAATGTGATCTCGAAAACACCCTCTCGGTCATAACGTATTTGATAAGTAACAGATTGAAGTCGATCGAGATTCACCCTGGATGTAAGAAAGTAACTGATTGGTCCAGTCCCAGCTTCTCCAAAGTGAGATTTTTAATCGTAGTCTTTATAATTGATTAAGGTTACTTCCCACCTTCAGAGACCAAAAAAATGTTTTTTTCTTTTATTGGACTAGATTGAAGACCGATATTTTACCTAACGTTTACAAAAAGGAAAAATTTTAAAATCTCAAAAAGCGTCCAACTTATTTAGAAAACCTATTTTCAATCAAAAGTTAATAAATCAGGAGGGTGTCGTAATCTCGTAAATGGGCGAACCCCCTGGAGGGAACACTCGCGGCAATTTCATGTTCATACAATTGAAAAAATTCACACGTGAAAGTTCTTTGCTGGTGGAAAGTCTTTTCTCATGGATAAAAAGCAGCAATCAAAACTCGAGAGGAGTGGCTGGGCGAAGAAAAAGAAAAAAAACAGGCCCAGCGCCCAAAGAGGATGGAAATGGCACCATTTTGTCAGGAAAAAAAACCAGTCCTGGGGCTCCTCTCCACGCTGGCATACAAATTACGAACAAAGAAGTCGCCATCAAATCTACATTTGTCGTGCATTAGGTTGAAAACGAAGTTTCCTTTCAATAGGCAAGTACCGGCCTTGATACAAAACATAGGCAATGGCCTCGAATCGTATGAAATCATGAATAAACCTACCTGAGGGAACTCATTTCAGCGATAAGGGTATTACTTAAGCTGTCTGTCGATTCGCTGTTTTGCTTTTCAGAAGTTTTTCCAACTTTATCTTTCACCCGCGGGTTTTTATTTTGCCAATTTCGCCCATTACTCGACAATCAACAGAGCGAGATAAAAAATCTGATCGACTGCTATGCGATACTTTTCCCGGGAAAATCTTGATGCATTGTCATTGACGCCAGTTCCATCTTCCCATTGGTTCACGGTTTCAGGAGGTGAGATAATAGGGAGCTTAAGATACAGACGTTTTCGGGGCGACGGCGACGTGGAGGCCGATTAAGATTGGGGCGAGATTGACTGCGCATGCGGCCCCGCCGTCGCCCTCACGTCGGCGACGTGAGATCAATGAGTTTGCCGTTGTGGTGAAAACGTGAGTTGATCTTGTTTGTTTTATTTAATATACTGCCAATTTTGTCACTTGTATTAAAGTGATTGCATTATCACATTTCGCACAAATCATCACACGATGTCTCGGCCAACTCAAGAGACCTTTTGTTTTCTCTTTAGGTTAAAATGAACGAGGCAACACAGTGAAGTCCAAATCGTCGAGGTAAGTTTTGGGCACGTACGCATACAGTACTTGAATTCTTAACATAAAAGGGAGTTTTTGCTTGCTGTCACTCCCTTTATCAATTCCTAGATGCACCTCGAAAACGTACACCTAAGATCTATGGAGATTTTCATTTGGAAAATTAGGGTTTTTAGACGGAAATATTTCATACAAAACCAAGAACTCTTCATCGCTAATAAGATTAGCGTCGTAGTAAAGGACGAGGAGGTGGCGGAATTCTTCAAACGTCACCACGTTACGACAAAAAAGCCTCAATTTATGAAGCGAAACTCGACGAACTTCGAAGATGTCGCAAAGGCCGGCCGTCATTAGAATCTTAACAACTTCAATTATGGCGCGCAAACGGCAACCTCTGACCCAGTTTACCTGGGTTGTCACGTCGCCGTCGCCCCGAAAACGTCTGTATCTTAAGCTCCCTATTATCTCTTGGTGTGGCGCCAGTCGTTTACAAACCTTTAGGAACTAAAATCTCGCATTTTATTTTGAGAGGAATACAACCACTCTATGCGAATTTATAGGGTAACTATGTAGATTTGACCGATTTTCGTGAAATTTCGCTAAAAATTTCAGGGATAATAGGGACCTGAAGCAAACCACGACGGCGACGGCACGACAGCGACGGCAACAAGGACGTGGAAATAAGATCTAATTGGCAGAACGGTTGGTCAGCATGTGCATTTTAAAACTTAGTACATTTCATAACCGTCTTTTGCAAATCAACAATGTGAAATCACCAAAATTTGCGTCGTTTGCGAACCGAAACCGTGACGACAAATTATTTAAATTTCCATTTGGAACTCAACGCAACTTATACGTTATTTTGAGGTTGATTTGTGGCGCCGCCTGGGATGGTTCACACAAAAAGCAATTTTCGAAAATTCTAATTAAAAGTATAAATTCACTTTGTAATTGACGTCTTCCTTGGCGTTGTCGTCCTGACTGCTTAAGGCCCCTAAGGACGAATTAGTGTCAGGAAATTTTGATATTTGAAATATTTTTCACGTTGTGTCCATTTACGCAACACGTTTCGCATATTTTACGCTACTCTAACTTGAAATGCGGATATCGAGACAACCAATCAGAATATAGGAAAAACCTGACACATTTGTTAATTGGTGCCTTGTGAATAAGACTGTGCAGCCACTTTGCTCGTGCTGCAGGATCCGATACCCGGTAAATTCAATAGAAGGACCCTCAGTCGTTTGACGCCTTACCTGCTCCTGATACTCTCTAAATAAAAAAAATAGCATAATTTATATTTTTATCGTAAACTGCATTTATTAAGCTTTCTTTTGATATATAGTTTGTTGGGATCTTCTTGAAACTAGCGCGTGCACGAATTTTTTCCCGAAGGAGACCAGCGAAGGTGGGAAGTAACCTTAAATCGTTACAATTTGCTAGCGGAAAAAACTGATTTGTTGACGATCTTGCGAACGCTTGAGAATCTTTTTGAATACCAGAATTAAAGTGTTTAGCAAGGAGTTGTAGTGCAGTAAATGGTTTGAACCCGGGGGTAACATGTGAAGGTGTAGTCTGATCGTCCGGGTGAGTGTAGTCCTGAGAAGGACTGTTGTCGGTGGCAGTGACTGGCGTTTCGACAACCTGTGCGGAAGTCATCTTGACTCTGATGATGACTCCCGCACAGGTTGTCGAAACGTCAGTCACTACCACCGACAACAGTCCTTCTCAGGACTACACTCACCCGGACGATCAGACTACACCTTCACAAGTTGTAGCTTGGCCAAGACAGTTTAAAATTTATTTCCCTTGCTTCAAAGTGGGACAACTAGTGTACAACGCACTTATTGCTTGAGTGAGGGGTCTAGACTGTATGACATTTGGCCCGAGGATACTCATCTGATATTAGCTGGGGATAATGGCTAAGAACCAAACTTTTCCCTGCCAGTATGACAGTTAATGTGCATTTTAGCATTTTAAAGTCGCATTTAGGTTGGCCTTAGGGCTTTCCCCGGCCTTCTCATCGCATACAGCCCTTTACAAGGATTGTTGTCTGATTGTCTCCAATAAAAGCGCTTTGATGTACGTATAAAATTGTACTCGCGACTGCTTGTTCAATTTGTGATTACTTTGCATATTCAATCAAAAATTGCTCTAAAAATCCAATTTAATTGTAGAGATTTCCTTCTATTTTCAGTTTTTTTTAATGCTAAAATGAGAGTGTGAGATGCATTGTGATTTTGTTCAGGACAGCCCATGCATTTCCGTCGTAGCATCAATGCAAAACAAATTTCATTTAAAATCTTGTAAATATCAAACGATATCAAACCCATATTCACGTCAATACAGTGCAACTGTTGCTTCATCATTTATTAGCACCAGTTGCCACCATGCCCTGGTTGTTCGAAGGGTGGATAATGCAATACACTGGTTGAATCTCTATCGAATGGATAGCGCAGTAGGTTTAGTTAACACTTTTCCGCTGGACAGCGATTTATCCGTTGGAACGGGTTATCTGCTCTTTGAAAAATCGGGGCCAGGTGATGGATAAGTTACAGCTGAGCTTACTTTTACGCTTTACACAATTCCATATATATATATTTAAAATATATCAGTTAAATCAAAAGTTTAACTCAGTTCGAGATGACTAAATTCGTTACTTTTTAATGCGAGTAAATAGCCTAAGATTTCTCATTATCGATATCTCAGTCAGGAGTGCATCTGACTTAAAGAGACAGTTTTTTCCTCTTTGCTTTCAACAAGCTCAAGGTTGTAACATCTTTGCCATCTCCATCGCTTTACTGACTTCAGTTGACTTTATGTGGAACACTCTGATGACCTTTGCATTGAGAGAGGAAAATCTCCTTCGTTGCTGATTATGTCCCTGGCCTGAAAATAAAGGAAAATTTGATAATCAATTCCATATATATATATATATATATATATATATATCGATTACCTTCGCGACGCGCAGGTTGTCGATACGTCCGTCACCACTTGCAGTAACTGCCCTCCTCAGGAAAACCTTCAACTGGACGATCATAAACACGACAGAATATAACTTAAGCAATATTCACCTGATGAAGGTCTCACAGGGCTTTTAGGTTGCTGATATTCTGCACGAACGCCACCTGGCTGGGAGGAAAGATCAACAACCTCCCTGGGAAACACCTGAGTGCCTGGCATAACCTCGTTGATATTAGGAAAGAATACATTCAGGTGAGCATCACTCCTCTTTTGCCAGTCATCCCAGATCTTGTCAATGAAGCCATGGTGAAGAAAGAACTCAGGCGCTGAAGCAGAGTCATTAAAACACATGGTACCACCAATCAAGCAGTGAACAACGTCATGGAGATTAATCCTGAGTAGCAGCTCAAAATCTGTGAAGTTAACCAGGTTTATTTGCAGGACTCTGTTCACGGCAACCAGGTCTGGAGGGTTCCCATTAAATCGTCGCCGTAAGCATCTAGGTCCAGGCTCGGTTGGCGCCCCCGCTGGAGGGGGAGGGAGGCTCCAGATGCTCTCTCTGAAAGGACCCGTCTGTACACAACCGTTTGGTGCAACGCCATTTCCACCAAAACCAGCATTTCCACTATGCCAAAGGTCTGTAGGATTTGTTCGAAATGGATCACCCGAGACTCGAGACCAATCCCAGTATGGCACAGTAACTCTGCAGTCCACTCGTCGAAGAAGGTTGTCGTAAAGCAGGATGAAATAACGATGCCATGGCAGAAAGTGAATAGGCTCATGAATTCCAGACGTGAATAGAATCCTGTGGTCATTGATCAGGCGGTCGTAATCGTTTTTGAACGTAGGGTCAGTTGAAGCCTTAAGAATGGTTTGAATCTAACGCCTTCGCTCTCTTAACGAGAGAGAAGTGAATTCCTTTCTGATCCTTACGCAGTTAACGAGACGTCCACGAATACAATCACATCTCTGCCCACATTTATCAAACGATTTACGTCCTTCTTGGCAAACTAAAACAGGGGGAGAATCATATTCATGAAAGATCGTCCTGTTCCTCTATCATTACAGTATAAAAAAAAAAGGAATGCACTGGATTTCTGACTTTTTTGTTACAGTCTCGTAACCTCGGATTGTCAGCTTTCTACAGATTTGAAATATTGAATAGAAGTTTTCTTATTTTCTTATATCGGTTTGCAAAGGGAAGACAAAAAAGAAAGAAAGAACATTAGTTTCGGCAGGCCAAATGAAGCACAAACATATATTTTTTCTTTCAGTAAGATAAGCCAACCTTTTTCAAATTATCTCTTAAGATCTCACTTAACCTAAAATGGGTCCATCAATATCTCAAAGGTCAAGAAATTCCTGGTGAAAAGTTCATGCCTAAAAAGCCGATTTTGCACAAAAACTGTGATGTATCGGCGTCATACAAGAGCATCCAGATAGCTCTGGAACTAAATGATAAAAAACTGATATAAGCAATAACCTGAAGATCCCTGTACTCTGTATACGGCAGCATACCACAACCTGCCGACGCCGTAGTGGCATCGATTTCTACAGTTCCATCCTCTGGTGATGCTAAGTCCTCTACGCCCCCACGTACAATGACCATATCTTTTGATGGCAAAATAAGAGTACTTTCTCTTGACGGCTTCTCGAGCACAGACCTGAATCATGAAACTCCAATTGGGTCGTCGTCGAAGATTGATCCCATTTCTATAATTGAAATACACTCTGTTGAAGAGAGGGCGATATGTAAATTCTCGGTAACATCCCAAGTATGAAACAGGCACTGTACCTAAAAGAGGAAAAAATTAAGAGATTGCTTTTTTCGATCAGGGATGCATTGTACATGTTTGTTCAGAAATGAATTTTGATTATTTGTGACTGAGCCAACATAATAGTATACAAAGCAAAGGCAGATGAACGAGGGTGTGAGAATACGCAAGGTTTTGAATCATTTCACCAACTAGAATCTTACTCTGATGACTAAAAACAGCCGATTGCTATGATTAATTTTTATCATGGAAAAACTTCTTTTTATTTTAAAGCGACAGTTTATAGTTTGGACAGCCCTATCCTGCTTGCCAGATGTTATGAAGAGTGAAATCATTACCTTGTGTGCCTCCGAATACGGATAACGCCAAAAATGTTCCTGTCAGCAGAAGGAACATACCGCTGTTAGTTCAGAAACCAAATCTGAAAATGCAGAGAACAAGAAAGTCAAACGAATGATATTTAAGCAGTGGCCTTAACAAAGTTCTCTGATATTGCTGCTGCTTCAGTGCTAAAGTACATTTCTCTTTCATTTCGCCCTAAACATCTCATTCGAAAAAAGGTCAAAAGTCTGGTTTCGAACCTCTGATGCAAGAATGTGAAGCCTTGTAGCAACACTCACACCATTTATGTCTCTGTTTATGAACATGTTTGCCATATACACGGAGATTTCTCGTTTGGAAAGGCCGATAATGCTTTCGCAGCGAGGGGAATTGCAAACAGTTTGCCACCAAGATTCTAAATCTTTTCGTGTAAAAGTCCAAACTTAGTTTTAACTCCTCGCTTTACTCGCCGTTCGTTTATCCGCCATATTCTTCTCGTGTGGCTCTATAGGACCATACAAAAATAAACTACAGTTACTATTCAAAACATCACGAAATTATTGGCTGAGATTGAGTGCAGTAAATATCCAAGCGAGCTTTTTTGGTAAGATCTGGCTGCAGACCAGGATCTGCTGGGCTCATCAATCAGATGTTTAGAAACGATCATGGTTCGACCACGTCTAGAGATGAAAATAGCTGACCTTTCTTTTCATTTTCATGACAAAAATTTTGCTTTTATCCGGTTTACTAACAACTCAGAATTTCCGAAAAGTTTGGCGATAGAAGATGAACGTAACCCATTCGCCTCTTTGAAAACACCCTGGGGTAGTAAAATGTTTAACTCCAATTGAAAATACTTGACAAGTTTACAAAAGCTACTGCAACTCGCCTGATGCTTGGTCTCTAAGGTTGTACACATTCGATGCCCTTAGTTCCTTGAATAGTCTTTTCCAAAGGAATAGTGATATGAACACTAATCAACTCTGGCGTAACACTTGGCAGTTTGTCCCTTTTTACAGGCATTGTATATTAAAAATAAAGATTATTTTCGTACCTTTTGTAATTTCAATATTGAATGGTTGGACACGTATCAACTCTGACGTATCACTTGACAGTTTTTTTTTTACTGATATTTTGACAGACTACTCTTGTCTTTCAAGAAAGTTACTGAATATCTCATTGAGGAAAATTTTTGCAATTTCAATATTGATAAGTCGAGAGAATTCTTTCACGAAATCTTTTTGTGTTTGAGTGAATATCTAGTTTCCCTTTTGTAACAATATTTCTTTAATGGCTGGTGGTTTCCGCTATTTCGTCTTTTTTCGTGGCGTATAGAATCAAAAAAGATGCCTAAAGAATTTCTGAGCATGCTGTAGTTTTTGTTTTGCCTTAAATTAAAATTGCCATGGATACCTAAAAGCAGCTCTCAGAAAGACCCTTACGTGGAGTGTCATGTTCATGCAACTCAAAAAGTTCGTTGATCTCAATTTGTATTTTATCAACATTATTTTCTTCGAATTTCAATCGGCATATTACGACTCATTCTTCTGCAAGATTTTCAAAACTTATTCTCAATCAGTTTAGGCCCACGCTATTCTTCAAACATTTAAAGTGTTCCTGTACCATTTTTTTTATTTATCTATTTTTTTTTAATTTACTGTTTCTGCATAAAGAATAAAAATGGGGAGTATCGAGTTTCAGACACAAACAGCTTAAATTAAGGGTGTTTGTAAGAGGTTGCGGTTTTGCTATGGTAACCTTAGATGTAAAAACAAAACATGTTAAAATTTTTAAGAAATTATTGGTAATTTTGTGACACCTTGCTCAAGGATTATCTATTAAAGAGTTGGTCTTAGAGAAACCATTTGGACCACCTTAAAATTGTAGCGGGTCAATGATTTAAATCCGCGTCAAGCAGTGATTTCATTTTCAGGTAAACACGCAATAGATGTTAACTCTCCAATAATATATTCGAGCATGAGCGTCAAATTGAGACAGATTTGTAAGAGTTTTTAACGATTGATCCTCGCGCTTATGGCTACGTCAGTCTATTGACGAAAATCGTGCTTAGGGAGTACAACGAACTTGAGAGAAGTAAGCTTAAGCTATTCGCATTCCCAGCAGAGTTCCTCTTTCAACGAGAAAACTGGCCAACTGTACGTTGGGGTAAAAAGTCACTTTTAGCTGTGACAGTAGAGTTCAGTGAAAAATAATATGAGGAATGAATCAGATAGCAAAAACATAAATAAATAAGATCGTTCGATTTCTGTTTTAACCAAATCAAATGTTTGCATTTATATTCCTAAAGGGCGACGTAGACATGGTAGATACTTCAACTATGAACTATTAATATTCTTGATGATATATATTGGCATTTGAAATATTTGTATTTGAACACCCACAGATCAAAGTTTTAAAGTGCAATACTCCAAGAAATGTCAAAGCTCAGCATAGCTAAATCACAAAGCTAAAGAGTGGTACAATTCCGAAGACAATCTTCGTATTTGGCACATTTCTAATGGTTCGTTTGAAAATTTCCTTAAGATAATTCGCTCAGTGCAAACGAGAAATCACTTGGCGGAAGCGATATCTCGTTAGATGTAAATGATATATCGCGGAACCGTGATATATTGTTGAGCATAAGCGATATGGCGCTTAGAACGAACTATAATTCGGAAGATATCGCTGAAATATTTAAGGTTTGAAAAACGAATTGTTCTAAGTCAAAATTCAATTTGATAGATCTGGGAGGTCATTTTCAGTCTCCACATGGATCATGGGCTTAATATCATCATGATTCTGCGTAATGATTGTCAGTCTCTCTTCAGTCCACTTACCCTTTGATCTATCGCGTGTTAACCTTGAAATGGTTAAAATAGCTTCGATTCTATTTAAAGAATTACTAAATAGGCAAGAATGATATCACATCTACCTGTACTAAATAGGCAAGAATGATATCACATCTACCTGTAAAAGCACTGTAACAAACCCATGATGCACCTAAAAGCCCTTTTCGAGAAATTGTGACTAGAGTATCCACTGCCGGATTTTATCAACTTCTTCATTCATAAAGTTGCAGCAAAGAATTAAATCTCTGGTATATCTCTAGTGGGAAAAGTCAAATAAAACTTTCGAAATTGCTGATTACAGCACAATGCGAATTTATATCAGCCACCATTGAAGCATATGGATTTTTTCATAACTGTGTTGTTCATCTCAATAAACTGAACAATAGATTCAAAAGCATGACATGATAAAGTCAGAACAATTAATAGTACATTCAAAGGCAAGATATTGAGTTCTAAGCAAAATTTACTTTCAGCCCTTATAACCTAAGTAGGAAGTATATTGATACACACATGCTGGTTATCAGTTAGTGGTCTGCGAGCGACAGATCTCCCACATTCAACTTGTTATATTGGTTTCATAAGACTGAAACAATTTGATTATGCGTGACCTGATATCGCTTACGTATTTTCAAAGGCTTCTTTTTTCGAGCCTAAAAAACTTACGGTGAAAGGTCCAGTTTAACGCTTAAACGAAGCACGTGTAAATAGAAAAATTGGCTGTGTTGACTGAAAGATGAATAATATCAAAAATTTGGCGTCTATCATTTCACCGTGAGAGTTTATTGTTGGTGGCGACTTCCCAAAATAAAAATGGCGTGTATAAAGTTTCGGCTACAATAAAGTCTGAATTCACTTTTTCGTCACATTCTGTTTATCAATTACGTCTCTCTTAGGTGTGAATTCTGCAAGCCAGTAACCTTTCAATTTTTTACTTTGTTGTCTCAGCGATTGTACAAAAGTTACTGACACTTGGTATGGATTCATGCCGGTTCATCTTTACACGAAGCTGCGGATAAATTGAGTTGCTTTTGGGAAATGTGCTTGGCTCGATCGAATTATTTGAACTTTAACACCGCAATCCTTGCGAGATGCCGTCATTAGCTAAGCTCTAAAGCCACCAACGTTAAGAGAAGGTAACGAATTGACTAGTAGGTCACCTTAATAGGTATGAAGAGTAATTTAAGATCCTCATAAACTTGAATGATATCAAGAAAGTTAATCGTGAAATGAAACGGTCCTCGAAGTGTTCTGCCTCTTAATGCAACAAGCATTTGAGTTAAGTTTACTACGCGTATGTCACGCAATCGCACAAGTATAAAGAGAACCTTACTAACCACATGAAAGGGATTTTATTCTTCAATTTATTCGATTTTGATGAAATCCCTCATATAACAATATGCTGTTGTTTGTTTGGAAAGCCTAATGTAAATTTTTCACTTGCTACAGATTTTCATGCAATGATGGTGGAATTAGCGCCTCCCACTGCTACATCATCCCATTGCACATTAAAATCGAAACCAGCCACATCATGGAACTTTCCCTCGAGCTCAAATTCGTAGAGAGACTCGTCCGTGAGTATGTCTATTGCGGTTTTGGAATAAGGCTTATTCTGCTTCATCAGATTCCATAACCAAGGACTGTCACCTCTTTGGCTCGCCTGCTTCAAGAACGTGTAGAAGGGAACCTTCTCTGTGCCAATTTTATACTTAAAGATGGGCCGCTCACCTGAGCCTCGATACCTCTCGTGGTAGTTTGGATTATCGCCGTTTGCGCCTCCTCCCCAGATAAGGAAGCCATCGAGAGTAGCAGTGAACTGGACTTGTATGGTGGCTTTGTAAGGAACATTGACTTTCTTCTGGGAGGTGGTTATTTGATAGGAGGAACCTGAGTTTCCCTCCGTCGTTTGCGTTTCCTTCACTTGCACAATATCCCAGTTAATATCACCATTTTCTTTTGTGTTCAACTGGGCACTTTCGCTTCCCCCTGACAAAGTTACAGATGCCTTGAAAGTTCCGGTGGCTACCTCGCCAATCAATCCTGGAGACTTGTAACTGAGGGTAACGGAAGCACCCCAACCTGATTTGAACCTGGTCGAAGACGAGTGAGTGACGGTGCGGACAGTCTTAATCTGTCGTGCTATCGTACTTTTCGTCGATTGGGAATCCAGGTTCTTTATCTCTCCGACATCTTGCACAATGGGCTTCATTGACTCGATTTCCGGTTTCCCGTAGTCTATATTCTTTACTCTGAACGAAAAGTTGTCGTAATGGATTTTCAGACGAGTTGTGGACATGTATCCGCTACATCCTTGCTGGTAATGTGACCTCCAGGAATCACCCTCGCGCACAAAGTCCTGACCGGCGACTCTACCTCGACATCCACCCGCCCAACCATAACCAAGATCATTGGCCAACAATGCCAGATTTTCTTGTGTGATGTCCATGACTCTTGTCTTGACTTCTAATACTGATTTGAGCGTGAGCGGCTCTGCCGAGAAAAAAATTTACCTACTTTGAAAAAAGGTACATCATACAAACTTGACTGAACGTGACATCCCTCCGCGGAAAGAGCGTTAGGTTACAGAAGAAGGAAATTTCCAGCCATCGTGGCGGGGGATGCCAGGTCAGTTAGGCATTGGCTATATGGCCAAAAGGAATTCGCTTTCAAGGGTACTGCAGATAACGCTAACAAGATAGACAAATTTTTCTGAATGGAGTGGCAATTCCTTAATCTTACCCAGTGCTTTTAATGATGCTTCAGTTTGATGGCGTTTGGTTTCTTAATTCATAATGTAAAATGTGTAACGATCGCCTAACCGCATAGCCACCCGACAAAGTTACTTACTATCATACATGTTGCAGCACCTAAGCTTATTGATGCTGGAAAGCTTTTCAGAGGCACCTCTATGAATCCCCACCACATAGTAACCATTCCTACTGCAAGCCATCCGCTCGCCTTGACCAACGTCTTGTTCATAGCACTGTTTGTACCAATGAGGATGAAGTGCCGGCTTACAGCATGTGGCCCACTGGATACTCTTCAGTTCATGGCTTCCACCGCGATGAAGTTCACGAAGGAAATGCCCAGATGAGCAAACAGCCCAGCCCTCCCTTTGAAGCAAGTAGAAGCACAGAGGAGCAGTAAGAGTGGATTAGAATACAAGAATGTATGAAAGGAGCTTATAGCTGCTTCAGATTGTGAACAGATGTTTAGTAGATGAAGAAATTAGAGCAGCCAGCCCAGTAGCTATAGGGCAACGGTGAACGTGACGTTACGAAACTACACTGACTAGCGCTAGTCGGTTGCCAATAAATGAGAACGCTTCTTTTGTTGGTCTGTTTGTTTGTTTGTTTGTTTTTCTTTTGGACTTAGCAAAGGTACTAGGATATCGATAAAACACTGCAGATATTTTGAATGAAAGCCGTTATCAAATTGCATCAGTGTGGAGTTGCTCATCCGACTAATGATACAGGTCTAGTTTGTAATAATCTAGGAGAAAGTCACTAAAGATCACATTCACCGTCGCCCACGAAGCGAAAACATCCAAATAATTTTTAAAATGATAGTGTACATTAAACACATGCATTTTGTGAAAACCCCAACTGGCAGGGGGTAAACCAGTTCACTATTATAGGACAAGGCCGAGGAGTTGAGTAAGGGACAGCCAGAAAAAATGCATCAAGTGTGTAAAACTCGTTCAACACTTAGTAACACTGCAACAAATCAATCAGGCTACATAATGTTGAGTTCGAACCTTTAATAGGCCTTACTTCACTTAGAACCTAACTAAAGACTAAATACAAGATGGCGGTCACGATAATAAATAGCCATAAAGTGAAACCGCTGGTCATGCAAAATGCGGGCAGGGCACAGGGGGCCCAGCCTTAACAACAGAACGGCAATATTACAGCACATAACCTTCACCAAACCAAACAAGTTGCATAGAGACAGACCAGAGCTAGTTCATATAATCGTAAAGTTAAAACATCATGAGACAACAAGCACGTTACGTTTGGCTCAGGGACCACGGTTAGCAATCGATCGTGACTCGCCTTACTGAAAAGATAACTCCTTGTCAAAATAACACACCTTGAAAAACTCATGTCCCAGTCAGCTGATGTACACGTGTACGGCTTCTTTCTGTGTTGTGGAGGAGGCTGACAGCATATATAAGTTTTAAAGTCCCTTAGATCATCGGTCCCTCGTTTTCGAGTAAATCCAGACATGTACAAATTATCATCTGTGTACGGACAGTAAGCGTATCCTTCTTTGGCCATTTCAGTTTCCATATCTGTGTACTGGGTACACGCTTGTAATGTTGAGCTTGGAAACGTACAAAGTGTCACCAAAAAAAGCAACATTCCAAAGCCAAATGATGCCATTCTTTAAGTGGCTGAAATAACAGTGAGACGAGTGATAATTAAATAAGAATAAGAAGAAACCACCGGAGGCTATTTCCAACATTCCTTTCTCCGCAATTAGCCATAGAGGTAATTATGGAAGATGAAGACAAAATGGAAACGAGTTTGCTAAAAAAACAGCATTATACTTTGAAGAAAAATGAGACAAAGAAAAGTATTCTGTTTTTTCGGAAACAATATAGCCCTCTTGCTTATGAGAGTTTCATGTTTAAAAAGACATTGAAACATGGACCCGCTTCCCCAGCAAGAAGTGACAGATTAATTTAAAAAATGGCAGTGAACAGTTTTAAGCGCAAACAAATACAAGGGTTAATGGGCAAATACTTGTGACAAAAATAATAAGGTATTTTCAAAGGAAGTAAATTTGGATGGTAAGTCCTGCTTTTCATCGGAAAATTCACATACTACTCTTAATTGTCTGGGATAGCAGTTAGGCAAAGAGTCAGAGCTTCTTCCTTTTTTCCGCGCCATCAATATTTCGGAAATACCATCATTCAAGATACAGAGATCAGTATTCAATGATCAATGTCCACAAATTGCTTTTGAGAAGTTGTAAAAGGTAATAGTCAGTGTGGTTAACGAATGATATTTTCAACTGATGAAGAAATGATGTTGGAGTACTTCCTGAAAGTGGCCAAATGCCATTAAAAACCCCACAATAAAATAATTGTTTGGACTTCTATTTCCCCGCCTGCACGTTTTGTTCGCCTTCTCATTATTACAAAAAAACCGAGGTTGTCAGAAATGGGAATAGAAAAAGGAATAAAAATTTTCCTAAACATTACTTACTCAGCTCGACTCATCGGTCAGTAAAGCCAGGAGTGTAATATAAAATTACCTATTTCATGAATCAGAAAGAACTTATTACCTAGTTAATTAGTGTATCAAGCGACCTATGAAAGCAGTTAATTAATTATTTACTGAGACATAAACAAAGGGGAAAATTGCTATTTGTTTCTGAGACAAGGTTATACCTGTAACCAATAATTTTTCAACCAAAACCAGCTGAATCGAAAGTGTCTCCTTCAAGTTGCATGGTCTTGTCGCCAAATTAAATTAAATTGTCAAAGTAATCATACAAGACCCTGATCTTGATACACTTAACTTAGCATTTATTGAAAAATTGTTTTACTGATTTACAAAAATGTTTTTGGGCAAAAATCAAAGAATAGGTATCACTTTATTTTCTGAACTGAAATTTAGAAATTTGGCTTTAGCACATCTGGTCTAGTGAACTCGATATAAAGAAATATATGCAAAAGCCTGCTATAATGACACCCTAAGCCATAGATGTGAAAAAGAAAATAAAAAATAGATAGGCAGCTTTTCTGCAACGCCTTAGCGGGTGCGCCTCATTTAAATTTTTTTGTGTATGTCGCACTACATAAACAGAAAGGCGCGCGTTGCGGGTTACACTACCACGTTTTCTTGGCACAAATCGGATGAATGGGTACACCTGTGACGAAAAAAAAAGCAAAAAAAAAACAAACAAAAAAAACAAATAGGAAATTAAATAAAGTATTTTGCAGCAAGTTGATAAAGGTGTCCAAGATTCCTTCAATTTCCCGTGATTAATCGTCTCTTTAAACAGTCGTACTCTAATAGCGAATAGGTGATTTTTCATCTTGTTGCAAGTCGTAACCAATTTTACACTAAGTTTGAACTGATACTCGTAGCAATGTACTTTTATTTTGCCCTACTAATGGCCTTTTATTCTGCCTAAGTACTCAGTTTCATTTAATCGTCAACCTTAAGTGTCCTACATACATACATACATACCTCTAATAATTTGCTTTCTCAAACAATTTTGAGGCAATCATTATGAAATCTTTTAGGTTATTCATAAACTTCAACAAAGGAAAAACGATGTTTTTCGTTTTGATACTTTTTGTGTTTGTTGGCAGGAGTTTCCTTTTGTTAGAGTACAATCTAATAATAAATTCTTCGGGAGGTTGTCAAGAATTTTTTAATTAAATAAGCACTTATTCGAAGAAACGTAATTGGCGTTTGACATATAAGATTGACTCTGTACAGGTTATTGTACGTGTCACTCAAATGTCGGTTTACTAATTGCTCTACACGTAACAACCATATCACTCTTACACGATTCTGGTATCAGCTTCTGGAAATAGCTACGGAAAACAAGATCAAAGATCCCAGGATGTATAAACCAACATTTGGTCTCAGTGATTGTGTCCAGACCCTCCCCATCTCGAGTATATTCATGTAAGTTTTTTTATTCGTCTTAGGTGAGTTTTATCTTAAAATTATCTTTTCAAAGCTCTGCACCGTATACGGAGAATAAAGCGTTGTATAGAAGTAAGACCAAAGTACATAAAATTGAATCTTCAAACTTGCATTGCAGCTGATATCCCTTTCTACGTCGTGATAAATATAATGAAACTTCAAATATTTATAAGATGGTTTAGTTTACTCATAAGCATCCGTTCGACAGTCAAAAAGATCGCATGGCTTTCTTGAATCTTTATCCTCCCCGAACCGCCTTCGTTGCCCATCAATCTTTTATCATGATACTCAAAAGCCGAACATTTTTCTTTGTCTCCAAGAATGAACCTGTTCTGTTGTTCCCATTGCAGTCTTAACTACTTCCAAAGAGATTTCCTCGAGTGGAGATGTTGTCCAGCACTTTTTTCCCGGTGATATTTATATTCGTGGGCTCTTTTTCGTATTTTTCAGGTAGGTTGTTGAAAAATTTTTGAAAGGGATTCTTTTAAATTTCCTTTTAACAAGAAAGGAACTGATCATTACCAATGACCAGAAATGTCAGTCACTGCATAAAAAAAAAAGAAGCTAGAGAAAGAGTCAGGCCTCTGCGAGGACTGAGCTTACATGATACCAAAGCGAGCTATCGTAAGTAAGGCAAATCTGAAAAAGTGCTTGGCATCCCGTAAAGGTATCGATTGTCAACTTTGTTTTATTTTTCTAATCTAATCTGTGGATAAGACATCACATGACGAGTTTAACTCTGCAAACAAAACAAAACGTTAAAAAGCCTCAATCCCAGAATGATGTCTCGTATTTCAGTTTGCAGTGGTGCCCAATAAGTGTTTAGGATTCAAGAACTCCATACCCATTAGATGCTGAATATTTCGCATTTCTTCTTATGAAACGACCTTAATTGCACTCAACCAGTGAAGATCCAATCTTATCTTTTGTCTTACTCATCGATGAAACGTCCATCAAAAAATCACAATTTGAGGCAGATCTTGAGTTTGCTCTGGTGCATGAAACATCACGACCACGTTAAGAGCTAAAACAGAACGAAAGAACGGCAAACCTACACTTGCACTATGGCTGAATGTTGTGTTTCGATCGAGATTATAAGCAAAAATATGCTACTTCTCTCCCGTGCAAAGCCACATAGTCAAAGATGCTAACCCCTGGTTTATGTTCTCTTTCTTTTAGCTGCACGTAATTGCGTCATGCAAGACTGGCCTTTTAACAGTAAAGGGGAAAAGGAATGTAGCGGATTTAAATACCTTGTAGGTTTTGAAAGGGACGGAACTGACAACTTGCTAGGACTAAAGAAAGCCAAGTGCTGCGATAGGGATCAAACGTTCTGGGGAGTACCGACCCAGTGCACGATGCCTGACTGGATCAAATCAATGGACAGGTAACACTCAACCCTTTCCCTCCGAAGATCTCATTAGTCATTTTTCTTGCTGTCTGCCATATACCTCTTATGATGTTGTGAAATAGGTTGTTGTTCATCGTGGTAGCTGGATGATAATATAAATTTGTTCTGTTGTCTCACAACAAAGTCACTAGATATAGAACGCATCGTTTCGACTGCTTACTGCAAGTCTTCTTCAGGCGATGTGGTCGACTGGTTGCGGCACAGCATTATGTATCATGGTGGTCTGTTGTGATTGGTACATTTCGATCCGGCTATTGTTTCCACGTACCATGGTTTCCTTCGGCGTTCGCTGATTTTTCGCGCGTCGTTGGTTTTGATGTTTGCTTATTGTAGGTATCCACAGACCACCATGATGATACATAATGCTGTGCCGCAACCGGTCGATCCCATCGCCCGAAGAAGACTTGCAGTAAGCAGCTGTAACGTTGCGTTCTACATCTTGTGACTTTGTCTTGAGACAACAGAACAAATTTATATTATCAATTCTTATCATGTTACTTCTGAGAATTAGATCAACTAATAATCCCCTAACTGATATTTAACAATTATTCACCGAAGGCGAGGTGGATATCATCGAATATTCATATCCGTTTAAAATTCATGTTCAGGGAAGAAATCCTTCAATTGATGTAGTGGGGTGGTGTGCTCAATCTAAATACATTCCCTCATTTTAAGCTCAGCTTTCGTTTAATTAGGCTTCTTAATTAATAGTACCAACAACTATCCAGCTTCAGACATAAAGCTTTCTGTGCCATTTTTCTTTGTCATTCGCTCACCACAACTGACTTTTAATTGAAGTGAATAATGTGAATCACTAAAGGGATCGAAGATAATTTTCTTCTGCAGCCCTTGATTTTGCTGAATAATTAAGTGATGCTCTGCACAAGTGCTTATTGCTTACTGATCATCCCCTCTCTATACGCATGATTATGACCTCGTTTCAAAATGATCCTAGGACTGGAATAAGCAACTGTCCTTCTGGCTTCTACCTCCGGGGTTTGTACCGCGGAGACAACAATGGCCAAAATGTCGGTAGTATTGATTGGGGAAAATGCTGCAAACCCTCTCATCATCCTTATGAACATCACGAGTGCTATGTAGAGGACGTCAGCAATACGTTTAACAAAGCCGGTCTCAGTGAGTGCAAAAGGGATGGCTTTTTTATCGCTGGATTTGAAAATCAAGATTCTGGAGGAAAGCTATCCAGCATCAAAAAGTTCAAATGCTGTCGCATGGTTGAAAGTAAGTTTTACAATGGACCATTTCGGAATTACCTTGGCCTCTTTTTCAAAACGAGGCCTGGTGCTCGACCAATCATTTGAAAATGAGTTTAATTTACATGTGAATGAAAACTTATTATGATATAAAAGGATGAGCACCTGGACTCCCTTTGGAAAAGAGACAATAGGTAATTCGGAAATGGGCTATTGTTATGAAGCATATCACCCTCAGTGTTATGTTTTAAAAATTGTAGTAGCAGCACTGTTATTTCTGCAATACTGTCGTAGCACTTCCAAATCTGAGGTAAATTTAGAAAATAACGGCCCACAAAATTTCATCACAATAAAAAAAAGAAGCAGGAAAATATTACTTTCAATTGATAACAATTTTTTATCGCCAACGATAATAATAATAATACTTTATTTACCCACGTATCACCTAAGAGCTAATAGCTCGTTTAAAACATGAACGTGAAACTAATTACAAATAATGAGCTAATAATTTATTATTATATTGGTTTATTATTATATTGATATCGATTTCGTATACTGGTGAAGATCTATGTTCATGAATGACGAAGAATTTTGTGCGATTAAGTGAATGTGATTCGTAAGAGCAAAGATAAGAATAGCTGTCTACGAAAAATATAACGAAACCTTTTCGCAATAGAACTTTGACCAAGCTTATTCGGTCAAGATGGCTGGACACTAGCATCGCTCCTTTTTTGTGTCTCGATCAATAAAGAACTAAAAGATAATCAATAATCAGTTATCTTGACCTCAAGCTTGGTCAGTAATGCACATTTACTTCACTGTTTAGGTATTCCACAGCTTAAGACCATGGATGGACTTAAACAACGTGTGATGGATGCCACCATGTTTAACATTGGACAGCTGGCCAACATGATGGGATTTGCCTGGTCTGGAGGGTGTTGGTCAAAATATGCTGGAGAACACTTCCGGCGGAATAAAGACACGTGGGAATCAGTCTACAAATCTCATTGCCTGGGTGAAGGACCTAAGAAAGACGTTCGCTTGAAGATAACTTATGAAAATTTCAAATTTACCATGAAAGATGTAAAATTTGGAAAGTCTATAAAGCAAACAATTCCACTGGACCAGGAAGAGCAATTGATGAATTCTCCTGATAGAAGCTACAGCAAGGTATCCTCGAACAGAAAATCAACACCAGGATATGACTCTGAGGTCCAAATACAGATTCGAGTTGCAACCACCTTAAAAAATGTTAAAAAAACCAGTTGGGATTCCAAATTTGGACTTGAAGTGGGAATGGAGTACGAGCCACCAAGCACAACCGGTGGAGTGGGATTTTCTGCTAAAAGCAGTTTCAGCTATGAATGGGGTGGAGATCAGGATGATACCACAGTCGACCAAAACTGGCACATTCTTTCCATCAAAGAAGCTAAAAAACTACCCCCAAAAACATTTTCAGAATGGCACGCTTTCAAAAAACCTCAAAAAGTTACCGTTCCGTATACAGCTACAGTCGTCCCTACATTCTCTGTTAAACTGGAAGGTTACATGGTATGGGGAGGTGGTTACCATGGGAAGTATCCAAATTTCCACCAGGAGCACCGTGGATCTGGAGATAGAAAAACACTGTCTTGGACGTTTGGGAGTGCTGATAAACCATTTTATGACGACCTTAATGACCAGATCGAGCAGAACATGTACCCTTGGCAATGGCTTGCTTTGAAACAGCATTATCCGTACGCTCAATACTACATCGACCAACTCACTAATTCAGACCTGTACGCGTTCACCATGGAAGGCCAGTTTGAAGAGACCACCGAGAACGAGATTAAGTCCAAGTGGTATCCATCACGACCTATCTCTGAGATGGATGATGCACTTGCAAATCTAACAGCAATGCAAGACCAGGGGGAGAACTTCCCAGAATTTCCTCGCCTATACCCCGAAGGACCCGTAGTCAAGATCATCGACAACACCAAAGACATAGAAGCTCCTTATGCCAAGATGTCTAATGACAACGATCGAGAGGAACCGGAGCCTACAGTGTTTCCTCGCATAAATCCGCCGGCACCCAAGGTGAAGCCCGTTGACAACCGTAAAGAAATGAAGCCTCCGCCCGTTAGGCACGCGAGGCGAGGAAAAGTGAAGAAGTCTGGTGACAAGCCTACAATGTTTCCACCTATAAATCCTCCGGCACCAAAAGTAAAACCCGTTGACAACAGTAAGGAAATAAAATCTCCGCCAGTTAGACACTAGAGGCGAGGGAAAGTGAAGCAGAGTTAAAAGGTCCCCAATAGATTTGTCTCCAAGACGTAGAAACTCCCTTCTGTAATCATTAAAAGCTGAATAAAAGAGGGATTACGCATAAAAATGTTCGTTTGGTTTGGGATTTGATAGTTTGAAGATTGCAGAAGATCGAGACGCCGATATTTATATGAGCAAGACCAAAGATCGGTTAAGAAAATCGATAAGCAAATCAGGCTACCAAATCAATGAGTGCGCCTCCCCCCCCCCTGCTCTTCCTCCTTGTGTCTAGCGCCAACTTATTCCAAGACTGGGCTAATTAGCTATCGTCTCTCTTAATTCATTATGTTTTTTTTTTAACTTTGATCTTAACACTTGCAAGATCAAAACTCGGTTGAGAAAATGGGTATATAAAAAAATTAGGCATCCATTCCTGGCGCCAACTCAACTTTAGTGACGACTTTGAATCAGAACCCGAAGGCATGTATGCTGACATTCACACAAAGCCATTTACAAATTCATAACGAATACATCTATTGAGAGCAGTAGATGCATTTGTCGACCACAAAAGCATAATAGCTAAGTACGCGCAAATAACCAGGGCCGGATTGTTCAAAGCTGGGTTAAGATAACCAAGGGTTAGTGTGAAATTTGATTTCAGATCTGAAAGCTTTCAAAGAAAATTCAACTTAATTCCATTTGTTTACAATTTGATGATTAAATGTTCTAAAAAGAATTGGGAAAACTATCCCAAAACGGCTTTTGATCAGAGAAATATGGAAACCTGGATAAAAATCTAACCCTGGATTAGTGCTAATCAGCCTTCGAACAACTGGGCCCAGGTGTATACCTTGACTTCTTAAGATAAACCGACTTGTTCAAAAGCCGGCGTTACTGAACAGAATTACAATATTGTGAAAAGGCAAACAAAATATGAAAACACCGCAAATGAAGGCTGCCATGGGGTTCTGGGAACAGGGAAAACGATTGGAAAGGACACATAATTACTTCTGCATCAAAACTTGACACCTCAGTCCAAACCAATAATATTTATTTAATTCACCTAGCTTATTCGCCGTTATTAGGCCAGGGTTTTACTGACGATAAAAATAACCAATTGCTTAAGTTTTTTTTTAACATAGAAAATTGTCTTTTATTTCAAACACTTTGAGCAAATTGTTGATTCGGTTTTGTCTAATTTACATGTCATATTTGCAATTTTGATAATCAGAGAGAATCAGTTTTCTTCTCTTCTTCACTTAACAACGACGTAGTATCTCACAGTTAGGAAAAGCTACGGTTGCTCATGAGCTCAGGCTGATAAATTCTACAGAATGAAGGCATGTCAAGTGCGCAGCCATTACCTTTCTCAAAACTATTAAAGAATATATAATTATAATTGATGTGAGACCCAGTTCAATGGGGACACGAAGCATAATGATGATGATAATAATAATAATAATAATTGACATCATAACAGTTACAAGTGCTATTGTTACCACTATCATATTATTATTATTATTATTATTATTATTATCATAGTAATTATCTTAAAATAGGTATCGAAACCTGTCTATCCTCTATGCTCTCTCCTATTGTTTCAATTAACTTTCTGCTTTCGAAAATCATTTACTCAACTTTCATTGTTTACAGAAACTAGACATCCTAAGTGAGGTACTGTATCGGCAGCGCACGTAGGACAAAGAACACCTCCAGCCATTTCCACGTTGCCACCCTAAAAACGAAAGAAACTCAGCAGAGTTAAAACCGAAAGAATGTTTAGAGCCGCACGCACACCAGGAGGTTTGCCGCCTCAGCAAGTACATTGAGGTCCTCCACAGCGGTTCCTTTGATGTCCACGACGCTTTTTCACGCCCTCTCCGATTTGACACGAAGACTAAGCAAGGAATAGGTAGTCATAGTTATTCACTAAACTAACAAACAAGGCTAATCAAGGCAAACTTGTCGGAGAAACGTTATCGAGGAAAACTTCCCAGATGAAATGCGCATCCAATACAGAAGCATACAAAACAAAGCACAATACAAAAGCACAACAACAACAAAAGTAACAAACAAAATTAAAACGATGAATACAGAATACAATTGGAAAAAGGGTTTTCAAGGACATACAGACGCAAACGCGCGCGCGTGTGATGTGCTGACCGACTTACTTTCTCGTAGACACAAACACATGTACACGAATTACAACAAAGTCACGCTGTTCAGTTCTCTGCTTACCAAAATGACACTTTCCTTCTGAATCACCACGTGAGGCTGCGGAGAAAAGGCGACGTCCTTCTTACAATCTGCACAGAGGGCAGGCTGCAAATAAAATGAAAAACTCTCAAAACAAATTACCGTGGAAATTGTTATTATCGCTCACCGCCTCTTCCTTCCCTTCTGGACAGCAGACGCTTTCTGCATAGTCCTCATCCCACTTTAAGGGTGGGCTGAATAGAGGTTTGGGGTCACGTTGCTGTTTTAAAGCCTTATGACACAAAAGACCATTAATTTTGCTATTAAACGTATGACCAAAATTATTTGATACCTGAGACAACTCCTTCGGTGATACTACCCTCACAAAATGTTCCTAAAAGTAGGAAAATATGAACCATTCAGAAAGTTCAGAAACATGCACTCGTAACTGATGGGTACAATTGAAGACAAGGGGCTCAGTGAAGTAAAACAAGGAACACACGGAACTCCGCGCCTACCCCTCCCATAATCCAACAATGTCAACTGGCACCTACCCCTCCCATAACCCAACAATGTCAACTGGCACCTACCCCTCCCATAACCCAACAATGTCAACTGGCACCTACCCCTCCCATAACCCAAAAATATCAACTGGCACCTACCCCTCTCATAACCCAACAATGTCAACTGATATCAGGTTAGGGTTATAGCTGAGTGAGGTGCTCATATACTGACATTGAACCGAAATTACAAATTCGAATTATTCTTTAACAATATAGCGCAAGCTTCAGTTGATGTGATGCTGCGTGGCTTACCTTTCTACAGCCTAGAATATTCAGTATTGTAGTGTTCAGTTGGAGGCTCTTCTTCGCCCGAGTAACCGCGACATACACCAAGTTTCTTTCATCTTCACCATGGTCATCTAAACATATTAACACAGGCTACAAAAATTAAAAGGGAATCATGGTTGTCGATTGTTTAACATGCAGGATTTTGAGTCGCAGGATCTGGGTTCGAGCCACGCCTGCGTTTATTTTGCTCTGCCTGTGGACAATTTGCGTGTCAAAGTGTCTCTCGCTACCAAGGAGCATTGATGGGTACCGGAAGTGAGGATTCACTTCTGATTCCACCGCTGGTGGAAAATGTTTTACTTACGTAATGGCACACCAATGTCTGTTCCAGGTAAAAAATCATCTGTGACACGAACTGTGTCGAATTCAAGCCCTTTAGCTTTGTGTGCAGTGGAGAAAACTATATCTGAAAGGAGTAAAAAACAAACAAACAAACAAACAAACAAAACGAAACTAAACAAGACAAAAGAAGAGATGAAAAGCACATCAAATGACACTCGAGCTTTAACAGACAGACGTAGCCTGCATAGCTAAAGGTATTGCTATTGTGGTTGGAAAATTGTGCCTGCGAAGGTATTAGCAGAGTGGGGAAAGGGCGGCGTGTGAACATAACACCTTTATGTTAAGGTAATGTACAGAATATGCAATCCAATAAATCAAATGAAGACTTTTTAGAGCGCACAATAAAGTAGAATTACGGCAATATCAGATTATCGTCGAACCTCCCTTGAGAACTTTCCAACTTAGAATAACTCTATCTTTTCATCGCAGCATACGTGTAACTTGAAGCAGGAGTTTTTTTTTTTCCCTCGTTTGCTTTGTTTTTTTGCGTTTTTCTTTGTTTTGTCTTTCCTTCTAAATAGCCTTGCCTTTAAAAACCGCATATTTGATATGTCAATAGTTACGAACAATTTTTGTTTGCTTGTTTGTCGGTTGAATATCATTTTTTTTTTTTTTTTAATTTTTTTTTCAATTTCTTGTTCCGTTTGCTTTCGTTTTTGTTTACAAAACGTCACAATATTTCCTATTTCAATGACAAGGAACCATCAATTATCGAACTTCACAATAACTTAGCTTTCTTACCCGCCTGCCGTAAGTTTCCAATGGCCTTGGAAGTTATCTTCTCTATCCTTTGTGGCAGCAAGACATGATGGGTCTCAACGATCTGAAACACCAAGTGAAACTTAAGTTTAGGTGCGTCTCTTCTGACTAAGCTATGTCGGATTTTTTGGAACGCTTTTTCATTTGGTGCTGCACAAAAACAAAAACAAAATACAAAAAAAAAAAAAAGAAAGTAATCTCAACGGTCAATCAGAGACACGGAATACATGTTTGTCCTTAGGGCCGATAAAAACTCAAAACAAAACAAGCACTGCAGATTGCCTAAGACGCTGGAACACGTGTATCTGATTGGTAGAGAGAGTGGCGCGCGTTTTTCTGGACCAATCATACAGCGAAATAAAGCGAAACCAATGACGCTGTCAAAAAGTGTCCTCGTCAAAAGTTGCTGTGGTTTCCCGTGACCTAAGCTATCCGACTCTCCAACTAAGCTGAGAATTTTGTAAGATATCAAATAACCTGTTCATTATATGAGGTGTGGCACAAACCTTAATCTTGCCAAGCAGTTCTGGGTCAGGAGCGCATTTCGCATACTTCTTTAATTCAGAAAATGACCGGAATTTCTTGATCAAAGCGTCTTTGATTCCCAAGTAAGCTACAATAAAAAAAANTCCCATACAGGCCTGATTTTTTTCAGGTCTGATTTTCGCTATTGCATAAATAGCGCTCTCTACTGCGAGGATCGTGCATCATACGTATCTACAACCGCAGTTCAAAATATATGAACTTCATATATTCATTGTATCTGATTTATCATCACGGGTTTATTACGAATCAACTTAACGGCCTGCTCCCAGTTGGCTTGTTAGCTCAATTGGTAGAGCGCTGCACTAGTATCGCAGAGGTCAGTGGTTCGAATCCCATACAGGCCTGATTTTTTTCAGGTCTGATTTTCGCTATTGCATAAATAGCGCTCTCTACTGCGAGGATCGTGCATCATACGTATCTACAACCGCAGTTCAAAATATATGAACTTCATATATTCATTGTATCTGATTTATCATCACGGGTTTATTACGAATCAACTTAACGGCCTGCTCCCAGTTGGCTTGTTAGCTCAATTGGTAGAGCGCTGCACTAGTATCGCAGAGGTCAGTGGTTCGAATCCCATACAGGCCTGATTTTTTTCAGGTCTGATTTTCGCTATTGCATAAATAGCGCTCTCTACTGCGAGGATCGTGCATCATACGCGACATGATATGACGGTCAATCTTACCGAAAAGTTTGAAGCGATCATTGGACAATCAGTTAACCTGCGAAGACTAACTTTGGCTTCAGTATCATTACATAGGTGGTTATCAGAGCAACTGCATTTTTCTTTCGATTGAATTCGACTTCTTTTTCTTCAGAAATTCGAGAGAATAGTTGGGAATAACTTTTAAAATAACCAATCATTTGTTGTAATCAATTCCCCCGGGATGATTTCAGTTTGACCTGATAATTGACCAATCTGAACCCACACTATGCAAAATTACCACAAACAATCATATGATCCTGATTCAAAGGAGCTATCATCTTTAAGCTGCCAACACTCAATCGTATCTGGTATTTTTATACCAGACCCCACGTTCATTTTTACAGCTAGTGCAGCATATGCACCGTAAATGCTATCTAACAATCTGACAATCCCCATCGTGTTTGAGGTCACTTACGTGTGTTTGTGTCAGCAGTAAACAGTCTGTAGATGTCCATCACTCGGTCAAGAGCAAGGCTTTTAAGACCCTGAAGAGAAAAGAAGGAAAAGGAATAACGTTTGTATGCAAAATGTAACTTAAATTAAAATAATATCCGTTTACGATTACAGTGTGATTTGAGATATGGGCGACTACGTCATGTAAGCATGATTACTTCCAAGTATTTCGTTCTCAGCGAGAATTGAATGCTCCAGGCATGATTCAAGGCATGCCCCAGAAGTGCCCCAAAAATAATTCTTCCTACAATACGGATACATTTTCCCTGTCCGGTCAGACTTAGCCAAGTCGATAAACATTTTATCCCACTAACTCTTTCATTCTTTCTTCCTGCGGTTTTGTATTTCGCGGGGCCGTAAGCACGGCTTTTTCCAACCGTGCTCGTGCCATCGTGCAAAGCCTTTATACGGGGAGCCGCACGGGTCAGATTATAAACAAACTTACAAAAACAAATATCCTTTATGCCTCACCCCAACAAAACCAACTTTTTTGTCGTTGTTTGCACAGCACACAGTGACAGCCTCGTTGAACAGAGTATAGTTACAGCGTGTAATCACACACACCTGACCAGATTGTACACCGAGCACTGAGCCTACAAAATGAACAATAAATTCCATCAAGATCCATGGAAATGATAAAATCTCTAATTGTCATAATAAAATGGCAGACTATTTAGAGGCTTGTAAAGCGGCCTTGTCAACTTACATACGCTGGACACTTTTCAACAAAGTGCTCTGAAATCAAAACCGAAGCTGTCGCGATGGACAAAAAGAATAAAGGAAAATATCACAAGGTGCCGGCGGGAAAACAAAGCAAAAACACGTTATCCGTTTCGAGTGCGGGAGAATGAATGGAACCATAGCAAAAACTTGTTTTGGTTTTGCATTTGACCGATTGAGAAGGAGCTGGAAGTCTTAAAGACCAATGAAAGAAGGCGAAACCAATTTAACGATAAATCCCATATTTAAATCAAACATTCATATTTATGGCAACAGCACAAAAACATACGAGCTAGCACAACTTGACTTGTTGGTTCTGTGGGAGAACTGATCATACAAATAAACACTACAATTAAATAAACTTCTAGTAGGAACTTCAAGGTGTAGCATCTACCTTTGTTAGCTCCTCCTACCAAAGTCTTGTTTCGCACACCTTTTAGCACGTCCAGAACACAAGACGCAACATAAGCTATCTCGGGACCAAATCTGAATGACTGTAAACAAACAGAATTCAAGTATAAGAAGGTGCCACACGCACTGTTTGCGTTAATAGACATATAAATGTGCGTTGAAGCGAACTTCATGCTTCTTTTGTGGATATACATCATGACGTTAACAACAAAAACAACCAAAGAACAACAACAACAGCCAAACGAAACAATCAATCCCCCCACCCCACCCCAGTGTCCGCCACTGCTGTAATTTTGTTGTTGTTTCTGTAGAGGAATTTAGGGGTGATGTGTCAATTGATGTCGTTCACTAATTTCTTGTTTCCTTGTTTTTTTTCCTCCTTCTTTCATGTTTCATTTACTTTGCAAAAACAGCGGTCTTGTCTTTCTTTTTTTTTCTTTCTTTCTTTGCCTTTGTCTTCGTTCTTTCTTTTCCTTCCTTCCTCTTTTAATTTCTCTCCTTTCCAGTAGTAATATCAACTACTGTTACAATTAAATACTATCGTTCCATCGTTATTAGTATTATTATCATTATATAATTAGTAGTACTAATATTACCATTATCCCGATAAACATCCTTACGGTCAATGTCATTGTCGCCAACTAACCTGAGTGAGGTAAAACGTATGGGTGCCCTTTACCTCCTGAAGGGCGTTTCTTGCTCCGCGAAAAGCATATATCTGCTGATGAGGGTCTCCCACTAAAATCTTGGCACAAGACTGCCTGAGGAGAATGTCGGAGGCAGCTACAACACAACATGCGACATAAATTAACATGCATCCAATTCATATGTGTTAAAACGGTTTTAAATAAAGTGACTGTTAATAAAATGGTTCAAGTTTTCGCAACCAATTTTCGAAAGCAGTGGAGCAAATTGAATAAAATGATAAATTATTGTTGAAAATCAAATGAAAATCATCGTCAACGATGACTGCGTAAAATGATTTCTTATGCATACAAAAAAAAAATCCTCAACTCACCAGGAGTACAGTCTTGAGCTTCATCTACCAGGAGACAGTCATATCCATCAAGAACTGGCCTGTCGAGTTGATAGATCTTAAGGTAACCTGTAAAAAAAAAAAATATGGGTGTTAATCTGTAATTCAGGTGGGCAAACGGTTTGCGCGTGAATTCCCGGTCGAAAGGTTCGGCTCAGGAACCTAGCCAATTCGTTGTGTTGTTTTCTATGGCAAACACCATACTCTTACCATGTCACTCTCCCCCCAGGTTCGGGTTGTTCAAAGCTGGTTCAAGCATAGTTCCAGGGTTAGTGCGAAATCTGATTTCAGTATAATTATTTTTGCCTACAAATTGATCATTGGATGCTCTAAAAAGAGAATTGCGTNGTGTTTGATTTATCATCTACGGGTTTATGTCGAATTAATTTGATGGCCTGCTCCCAGTTGGCTTGTTAGCTCAATTGGTAGAGCGCTGCACTAGTATCGCAGAGGTCAGTGGTTCGAATCCCGTACAGGCCTGAAATTTTTTTCAGGTCTGATTTTCACTATTGCTCAAATAGTGCTTTACTGCGAAGGATCGTGCACATATACGTTTCATAACCGCAGTTCATACATATGTTTCATATGTTTGTTGTTGTTTGATTTATCATCTACGGGTTTATGTCGAATTAATTTGATGGCCTGCTCCCAGTTGGCTTGTTAGCTCAATTGGTAGAGCGCTGCACTAGTATCGCAGAGGTCAGTGGTTCGAATCCCGTACAGGCCTGAAATTTTTTTCAGGTCTGATTTTCACTATTGCTCAAATAGTGCTTTACTGCGAAGGATCGTGCACATATACGTTTCATAACCGCAGTTCATACATATGTTTCATATGTTTGTTGTTGTTTGATTTATCATCTACGGGTTTATGTCGAATTAATTTGATGGCCTGCTCCCAGTTGGCTTGTTAGCTCAATTGGTAGAGCGCTGCACTAGTATCGCAGAGGTCAGTGGTTCGAATCCCGTACAGGCCTGAAATTTTTTTCAGGTCTGATTTTCACTATTGCTCAAATAGTGCTTTACTGCGAAGGATCGTGCACATATACGTTTCATAACCGCAGTTCATACATATGTTTCATATGTTTGTTGTTGTTTGATTTATCATCTACGGGTTTATGTCGAATTAATTTGATGGCCTGCTCCCAGTTGGCTTGTTAGCTCAATTGGTAGAGCGCTGCACTAGTATCGCAGAGGTCAGTGGTTCGAATCCCGTACAGGCCTGAAATTTTTTTCAGGTCTGATTTTCACTATTGCTCAAATAGTGCTTTACTGCGAAGGATCGTGCACATATACGTTTCATAACCGCAGTTCATACATATGTTTCATATGTTTGTTGTTGTTTGATTTATCATCTACGGGTTTATGTCGAATTAATTTGATGGCCTGCTCCCAGTTGGCTTGTTAGCTCAATTGGTAGAGCGCTGCACTAGTATCGCAGAGGTCAGTGGTTCGAATCCCGTACAGGCCTGAAATTTTTTTCAGGTCTGATTTTCACTATTGCTCAAATAGTGCTTTACTGCGAAGGATCGTGCACATATACGTTTCATAACCGCAGTTCATACATATGTTTCATATGTTTGTTGTTGTTTGATTTATCATCTACGGGTTTATGTCGAATTAATTTGATGGCCTGCTCCCAGTTGGCTTGTTAGCTCAATTGGTAGAGCGCTGCACTAGTATCGCAGAGGTCAGTGGTTCGAATCCCGTACAGGCCTGAAATTTTTTTCAGGTCTGATTTTCACTATTGCTCAAATAGTGCTTTACTGCGAAGGATCGTGCACATATACGTTTCATAACCGCAGTTCATACATATGTTTCATATGTTTGTTGTTGTTTGATTTATCATCTACGGGTTTATGTCGAATTAATTTGATGGCCTGCTCCCAGTTGGCTTGTTAGCTCAATTGGTAGAGCGCTGCACTAGTATCGCAGAGGTCAGTGGTTCGAATCCCGTACAGGCCTGAAATTTTTTTCAGGTCTGATTTTCACTATTGCTCAAATAGTGCTTTACTGCGAAGGATCGTGCACATATACGTTTCATAACCGCAGTTCATACATATGTTTCATATGTTTGTTGTTGTTTGATTTATCATCTACGGGTTTATGTCGAATTAATTTGATGGCCTGCTCCCAGTTGGCTTGTTAGCTCAATTGGTAGAGCGCTGCACTAGTATCGCAGAGGTCAGTGGTTCGAATCCCGTACAGGCCTGAAATTTTTTTCAGGTCTGATTTTCACTATTGCTCAAATAGTGCTTTACTGCGAAGGATCGTGCACATATACGTTTCATAACCGCAGTTCATACATATGTTTCATATGTTTGTTGTTGTTTGATTTATCATCTACGGGTTTATGTCGAATTAATTTGATGGCCTGCTCCCAGTTGGCTTGTTAGCTCAATTGGTAGAGCGCTGCACTAGTATCGCAGAGGTCAGTGGTTCGAATCCCGTACAGGCCTGAAATTTTTTTCAGGTCTGATTTTCACTATTGCTCAAATAGTGCTTTACTGCGAAGGATCGTGCACATATACGTTTCATAACCGCAGTTCATACATATGTTTCATATGTTTGTTGTTGTTTGATTTATCATCTACGGGTTTATGTCGAATTAATTTGATGGCCTGCTCCCAGTTGGCTTGTTAGCTCAATTGGTAGAGCGCTGCACTAGTATCGCAGAGGTCAGTGGTTCGAATCCCGTACAGGCCTGAAATTTTTTTCAGGTCTGATTTTCACTATTGCTCAAATAGTGCTTTACTGCGAAATATTGACTCTATTGCGTACTTCATCTTTACCTTAAATCTGTAATTTAGCAGAAAAGGAAAAGTCTCAATAAGTGAAAGGTATCAATTCGCACGTAACACTTATTAGAATCTTTATCTACCCCATGCGCACCCACTTCCACTTAAGGTACGGGTGTGTCACATATTCTAACGTAGAGATATAAAAATGATTGCACACTTACCATCATGGGTGATAGGGAAATCTTTATCCCCTTGATCTTTCATTCGCTCCCATAAGGCTTGCGCATGTGAGACAACTTTCTACAGTTAAAATAAAATTCAGACAACCATGTCAACTATATCATATCCACGAGTGTCCGGCCATAGGTGGCAAAGAAAAAATAGAGCCTATTAACAAAAAAACCTCGAATATCGTGCGCATAGAGGCTACAAATAAGCTTCCAAATGTCGACCTTTCTTGACAAATACACCCTTCCGCTACGAAAAAAAATTAAAGGGACGATTATTAAAACAGAGTTTAGCCGTTGTTTAACAATATCGCGTCTAAAAGAACCCTCAATATGGCTGGACCTTTTACCTGAGCATATATTTTTGCTAAGTGTTAAGATGGTCCGAAAGTAAACAGTGAAAGGACATTTATTTGATTAAATCTATTATAGAGAGAGCCTGAGGCCCACTGATTGCGTAAAACCGTGGTTTGGTTTACACCTTGCGTAAATAACCCGCCCAAAGTGAACTCGCCAGATTTCGAGAAAGAACACAACAATTTTTGGCATGTCTTCTGCCATCTCCCCTTTAGTTTACTACATAATAATACAAAAATAGGTTTAATACCGTTTCACAGAATGCTATGGTCAAATGCCATACATGTATAAGCTGAACTATGACGCGTTGGCGAGGCCGTCTACCGTGTTGATGGGTAAAAGGGCGTCTTGCGCAAATGATAGGGGTTAAGCAAAAACAAAAGCAGTTCACCATTCCACGTAAATGACCACTCGAGGTTCCTATCACTCACGTTCAAAAGAAATTGACACATGCGTAGTATCAATAAAATTACGTGCGTAGTGTCAATTAAATCACCCTACCTGAATGTGCTTGTCGCTGTTCAAATAACTCGTATCCGAACCGTGTTCACCAAAGATAGATATCACAATCTCGCTTCCTTCTGAAGTAGAAATATCCACTGAGGTTCTTTTGGCCGCTGGTACATGCTTAGGGCTCACAGTAATGTCTGCAGATGCTATGAAATTATTAAGAGTTTCTTCAACTCGTCTGGCATGAAGATATCCGCAGTCGGAAGGAAGGACATTCATGATAGTACTGATCCGTAAACGATACGCAAGCTTGTGTCTGTATCTAAATAAATGAATTTTTGATTAGAAGATACAGCTGCACGTGGTTACGAATTTTAACTCCCAGTGTTGATATTTCAAGATATCATATTATCAGCATCTAAACAACCAATCAGAATATTGAAAAAGCATGACACAGTTTTGTTGATGAATGCCTTGTTAATAGGAATGTGCAGTGATTTAGCTTGTGCTGCGGCATCTGATACCCGATAAATTCAAAAGAAGAAACCTCGGTCGTTTCACGCCTTATCGGATCCTAACGCTTCCTGAAAGAAAAACTCGCCTAAATTATATTTTGTCTTTAACTGCACCTATTAAGTTTTCTGATGTACAGTTTGCTTGGATTAATTTAGTGGAACTAGCGCGTGTAGGAATTTTTTCCCAAAGGACATCCGCGAAGGTGGGAAGTAACCTTCATCTCAACTCACGTGATATAAGGTTCAGTATTAATCAAACCTTGGCCACAGTAGTTAAACACGAAGGCGCGCTATAAAAGGAGCCTTAGGTACCACTAGACATTTGTCAATCAACCGTCGTGTGATGTAGAACTCTTAGAGTCAAGTCAGCTTGAGCTACAGCAACTCCAAAGCAGTGAACAGCGGGCGCATTCCTCAAAATTGTTTTATGTCTTCATCACAATACAAGAATTTTTGAGATTTGTATTTCCTTTCTTTATTTGTGGCGGTAAATTTGAGATCGAAGTAGGTTGTTCGCACGTTACCTCATTGCCACCATGCTGGTGGAAGTAAGCAATAGATATCTCATTAGTTCCTTTTGTTCATCTACCAGCATTTAAATTTGACCCGCACACGTCAACGGTGAGTGAAAAATGAGCCTTGGTTTTCCCAGGGAAGACTTCCTTATATAGCCTTCCTTCGTGTTTAAACCTCATAAAGTACTGTTCACGTGTACTGCAGCACCTAAACGCGCCCCAAACGCGAGTGAAACGTGAAAATTACAAAAGTTTCCAGTGCGTGTAGTTACGCGCGTTTAGCAGCGAACTTGCACGCGTACAATGCTTTACACGCCAATGCACTTATTCTAACTAACTATTAACCAGTACAGCTCAACAGATGTAATTCGTAGTAGGAAACCGCACATCGGTCCACTAAATTCGCTGACAATTGGGGAGGATCGGATCGAGTGGGTGAAACACTCTCGTCTTTTGGGTGGTACTATCGACTAGAGACTTCCATGGACCCACCACCTTACTAATGTAAAAAAGAATTTTGTAAACAAACTTTGCCTATTGAAAAGGAGTTCGTTCTTGAACAGAAACGCCCGATTGGACTTATACTTCAAGATAATACTACCATCAGTTCTATACGGACTAGTCGTCTGGGGCGGCTGCCCTAATGCAGAGCTTCTACATTCGCTAGAAGTACTTCACCGAAGGGCGGCCAGAATTATATACAACTTGCCCCGAGATATGCCTACTGAGGAAGTTTACCGACAATCGAACTGGAATACTTTAACCCTCTATTACAAACTTCGATTAATTGAACTACTCCATAGCGTGTTTATAGGTGAAGCACCTACGGCTCTGTCATACTTAACAAACAAACCATACACCACATACAATTTTCGAAGGAGTAATAATATAATTGTCCCACGTTTTAACTCGCAGTTTCTTAAAAACTCCATTAGCTATGGAGGCGCTATACTCTGGAACGCTGTCTCGAAACATTTCACAGACCAGTTTTCAGTTTTTTATCGCAAAGTGAAGAAGGACTCTTATTTTAAGGATCTCGATTTTAGCGCACAGTCAGTCCAGTCACTACCAAGATTTTAAATGGTTTTAACTACCTTTATGTTTTAAACGCTGTAGTCAATTTACTTAGAGATAAATAATGCAAATCATTTTTATCATTCTTACTGTATATTTTGTAGAGTGATTTTAAGGGACACCATTCTTATTGTTATTGTAATCATATTCACACGACCCCACAAGCCCCCAGCTTTAAACCTCATCGTGTTTAAATAAAGGACATGATTAATTGATTGATTGATTGATTCAAATTACTATAGCCGTTGTCCTAACCTAAATCCCACTTTTCTGTAGGCTAGTGAGTGGATCGTGCGGTTCTCAACATTGCTGGGAAACAACTTAGCTGCATGTTCCTGAATTGACCTAAAGACAAACAGAAAAAGAAAATGAAATCTAGCTCTGAAAAGCTGAAGGGTTCATTAGTACCATTAGTAACTACTGACCGCAACATTGCTAAAAAACAAAGAGTTTGAACTCGTTGAGACCCAAAGAAATACCTGTACATACACAAGCAGCATACACAAGCAGAGCCAAAGCATTTGCAAAATTGTCAATAATAAGCTCTGTTTCAAGACTGCTGATTAATCATTTTCTCCTTTACTGTTGCTACACAAGAAATACTTGGGAAATTTTAGCATATTACTTACTTGTTATACGCCACATTAAGGAAACGTTCCATGGGCCTCATCTTGGTGTACTCAACAAGAGTTGTGGTCTTACCAGTTCCTTAAAAAAATATTACATATTCAGGATTTCAGTGAGAAATGTAGCAACAATGTTGTGAGAGATAACAAAGTTAAATCGAGCTTGAAGCTGTGTGGCCACTGAGGTTAAGGCAATGTGCTGTAAGCTGTGCGCCTAGGTTCAATTCTTCCACCCTACTATTGACTGGATTTCTTCTTTCTTGCCCCAAATAGGCCATTTTAGTTGCCATCTTTGTAGTAGGCCATTTTACAGTTGTGTACTTAGTTGCCAAGCCTTTAAATTGGAGTGAGGCTGAAGGTGACCTTGTTGTGATAGTGACCGGTATTTAGTTAGCATGATATCAAAGTAATAAAGGCTGATAGTTTCTAAAGAAACTGTTTGGAGCTGCGTCGGTGGGGGTAACGAAATAATTTGAATATATCAACAAAGTTGAAATGGTAAATTGGCCACCGTTACGGTTATAAAAGCTGACGTTTCGAGCGTTAGCCCTTCCTCGGAGCGAAGAGAGGAATTGTGGGTTGTGTGTACTTTTAAAGGCAGAAAGTGGAGCTGCGTGATTGGTGGGAACATGGCAACGAGAAAAACAGGAATAAATTAGTGAAATGAAAGCGTATCAAAGTAATTTACATTAGAAAATCAGCGACATTTGTATCATAACAAGGTCACCCTTGGCCTCACTCCTGTTCAAAGGCTTGGCAACCAAGCATACAACTGTAAAATGGACTATTCAACTCCTTGGCTGTACTTCGTGTATAGTCAACTGGTTTGCCTCCTACCTGATGGGATTTTTAAATACCATGTTTTTTCTCAATGTTTGTTTCCAATCTGTTTGTATTTACCCTGAAAATCCACATTTGGGGAATGTTTAATTATGTATACATTGCATTACATACTCTGCACACGGTGACACCTAAAGAAAGACAGTTCTGGAACTTTAGCCCAAGGCTGTAAATAACTAATGGGCAGTCGCCAGTCACGTTGTCCGGTCAAACATGCTTTTGCTCAGACACTACCCGTTTTTGGCCGGTGAAATTTTAACAGTCGGAACTCTTGCGATAGTGAATCCAGATGGCACAATAATCCTTTTACAACTAAAAAACAACTGAATCCAAGTCGGTCTGGCAATAAAAATTACAAGTCAATAATTTTACTACTCTTTACTGCAGAAGCAGCCTCGCATTGAGTACGTGGAACGGTTACGCACGATACAACCGCAATTGTCCGTTTTATTTTACATCTGGAAAAATCACTTATAAATAAATATTACACTCAGAGCCCTTTTTTTTTTAAGTTACAGTTGTGAATTTTTGTTAGAGTAAAGGAGTGGTCGGATTCTCCAGGTTTTGGGCCTTTTGCTCGCTTTTTGCACTTTGCAACAAATGCTACTTGGAGTATTCTCGATGCAGCAAGATTATTCTTCGTGAAGGTATTTTCCGATCATTCAATCAATCAAACAATCAGTCACTTTATTTAAAAGTAAATGATGGTATCTAGCCAAAGGTAAAACCCTCTACTAACTGGGTACACTTAAATAAAGTAAATAAAATAACTGAAGACACGATGATTTGCAGACGCGACAGGACTTATGACATCGCGGAAATTTGCGACTGCCGGGAATTTCTCGACCACTAATTTGTCTACTTTTATATTGGTTTTTTTTTTTCTTTTGGAAACATGACTGTGTCCCTTGTGATTATCAAACAGTTAAAAATTAAAATTTCTTTAAACGAGTCGATAAAGGACCGGACAATAATTTTATGTCCGCAAACCAAGGATATGTCCGGTCAGTACCCAATTTTGACCGGACTTTGTCCGTTGACCGGCCGTTATTTGCAGCCCTGTTAGCCAGGTAATCCTTTGTAGTAGAAAAAGAATTCTCTGATATCCTAAATAAAAACAGCCTTTGTCCATAGTTCCCCTCGATTAACTATGCTTTGTCTGTATACAGTTTATACTTTATACAATCACAAACATGTCAGGCAAGATAATCCAAACTTGCTTGTGAAAATTGCTAATCAGAAAACTCACTTCCTGTTAACCAATTGCAGAAGTGGTATATAATAATCGACAAAAAAGGGGGATTCTTACCAGCAAATGCTACAATTTTTATGATCTCCCCCACTTTGACATCATGTTTGATAATGCGAACTTGCTCATGTGTAAGCTGCAGCTTGTCAAAAGATGACCTATAGGGAAAAACATTCCTCATAATTATTTTTTTCACATTTACAAAGGGTGGCAGCTGACAGACTGCAGTCCGTACAGAGGCTAAAAATTCTTCTAACAAAAATCTTAAGTAAATTTTGCACTTCTGCTTCACCGAGGTTTTCAAGTGTGGTGTAGACAAGTATGTGGATATGTTTTTGTTTTACATCTTTTCTGCTGCTCTGATCTGACATTTGCCTCAGTGAAAGGGAAACTCAGCTTAGTAACGCCTTGTGGGGTAGTTTTCTATCTTAAGCAAAAAACAGTGTATGAACTGATAGGTGAGATTGAGAGAGCCAACCTGAACTCTACATGTAGACATGCAATATCCAAAATTGGTTCCCACACTACCTGTATCGCATCATTGACTGCTGTCCTGTAGAATTCTGACCAAATACAGAGCCAAGAGATGCACATGTGGCTTGGAATGCATTCTCATACAAATACAGTGTATAAAACACCCTGTAGTGGAGACTGATAGGAGAAAAAAATCAAAATGCAGTATGATGGATGGAGAAAAATTTAATTCATCATTTGACAGGTTGATCTTGCTAAACTGTTATTAATAACATTGGTTTCAATAAAAGCCACTGCTTGTAAGACCTACCACTGCCGTCTGTTTAGGCTCTTTTGTTTGGATTTTGCCTTACAACACAGTAATGTTGTATAATATGTAATTAGCTGTACCCCATGGAAAAAGTTATTGAAATTCCTGTGATATTAGAATATCAACAGATTTCAATAATTCACCCTAGGATTTCTATTTGACATTCACAAATAACTTGCTTCCTTGCAGTGTGCCAATCATTGGGCACATACAATGTACATGTATGGTGTAACAGTGTATCTTGGAATGGAATCTGAAGCAACTCATTCAGTGAGACAGACATACCCACTACCAATTCTGTTTTGTGACTCCAGGTAATAAAATACTGATGCAAGACAGTATAGACATTCCAGAATGTCCTGCACCAAACAGGATGTGGACCTTGTCATACAATGGACTATTTCTTGTACTTCATAAACTGTTTGGCATACCAGTGTCAAAAGTGCAACAACAGACCAAGGACTAAGAACCTTGAACAAAGAGAATGTTTGCTTTAATTGGGTGAATACACATGACTAGCAAATAGGGTCACACATTTATACACCTTTATTTTAAGCATGACTGGTAAAAGAAATTAATTTTTCAAACTGGTCGAGCACATGTATGTATTAAACATGTAGAGCTGGGCTGAAGACTAACTTTTCAACTTACTCGCCAAGTGGCTAGTGACATCTTACATGTTTTGAGATGTTACGACAATTTCAGTCTGTTTACTAGCCAAACTGGTTAGTGGAAATTGAAAACCCCTAGCCAAAACTGAATTTCTATTAGTCTGTTGCTAGTGGGCTACTGTTAGTGTCGAGCCCTGTAGAGGTACATGTACTGAAGGCACTTAATAGGCCATTCAATTAAATTCAAAATTGGCTCCGAAGCATTGGGGAATAAAACAAAAGAAATTACATTGAGGTTGAGGGATGAACAACTTACTTCACTTTGTTTTGCTCCCCCAAGCCTTGGAGCCACGTTAGAATTAATTTCTAATAATTATATTGAAAATGGCTCATTTTACTGGCTGACCTCCTGAAAAGGAGAACACTGAGTACAGACAGGTTGTTTTTTTTTTTTTTTTCAGGAAATCAAGAAAATTAGAATTGTCTCTCACAAAGTTAAAGCTTGCAATTTTGGAATCCTTGGAATTCTTGTTGATTTTGTAAAGATTACAAGTTACACTTTTGATCTTGCCTTTATTTCCATAAGATGAAAGTATATGTTAGTCAGCATACAAGTCATGTATGTGACACAGCTCTTGATACGTCTTTAGTGCTCTGCAATTCCACACCTCTCAAAACTTGCACACCCCTCTACAAAAGAGGTAGTGAAGCACACTAGCACTAAATATATTACCACCAAGTGTAAAAACTCATGTTAAACTTATCTTGTACCTCTTTTGAGCTCCCGGTAAGAGTTCCCAAGAATGTACCTATCAGTGGGAACTTGGGATGTGTCTTTAACTTTTCCATCAAAGATGAACTCCCTTTTCTTTTAAAATCTTTCATAAAACTAGAAAATAATAAAAAGAATTCAGTTGTTAATGTGTCTAAATGTGAGTTATGCCAAGTTTAGCCTGTAGCTGTAAGCTGAAGTTTGCTAAGGGGTGTTTACTCAACCTTGCAGGTGTCAAGCATTTTAATGAAGAATCTACACCTTTCCTGTAGGGGTGGTGTCAGTCTGTTTTGGTTGCTTCAAATCACAAAGTTCCTACTCCAGGGCTGTGGTCTAGCAGTGCCTGGTGGCCCCCAACACCTTACTTTTGCACTTAGGGGACTAAGGAATCTTAGTTTTTTCATAAAACGCATATGCTGGGCAGCCTGCATTTCACAGTTTCAGAGCACTGGGCTTCCTTCAATTTTTCTTAGCGCACAGCCTTGTACTCTTGTTTTCTATCCACTTTGTGCCCTGTAGTGAGCAATTCAAAGCTCTGTTTTTTCCCTGTGATTGATAATGTGACAGCACCTGGGTTAAGGTTACTTGAAGGGCCATCATGTTTAGATATCAGTGATATATTAATATATAATAATTAAACTCTGATGTAATTATTGACTACACTTAACTCCCCCCCCTCCCCCCCTTTGTCACCTCCCTGCATCCCATGCTCCTCTCAGCTCTCTCATATCATATAGTTCCCATGTACTCGGTAAGTGTACAACCATTAAAATGTGTAAAACAGGAAGCTAATAATACCTTGCAAGATTTAATGGGAACAAATCCACCTCTAGAAGTCCTTTTCTCTCCAGTAGTTCAATCATAACATCTTCTGATGAGCTGTCCTTGTTTTTTAGAAGAAAGTATTTCTTCTTCCAAGGAATAAACTAAAACATAAATCAGCATGTGTAAAAAACCAAATTATTTAGTGAATAAGACAAAGTTATAAGATAGAGGGTGAGATGTTTAACCCTTTCACACCAAATATCTTATCAGCAATTCTCCTTACTCTCTGCCATACAATTCTTATCAAGTAAGTTTGGCGAATTTGGTATTGGATCAACTAAAAATAGTGCTCTTTACTGCGAGGATTGTGCACAAATACGTTTCTATAACCGCAGTTCAGATATATGAATTTCATATATTCATTGTGTTTGATTTATCATCTTACGGGTTTATATCGAATTAATTTAATGACCTGCTCCCAGTTGGCTTGTTAGCTCAATTGGTAGAGCGCTGCACTAGTATTGCAGAAGTCAGTGGTTTGAATCCCGTACAGGCCTGAATTTTTTCAGGTCTGATTGTCACTATTGCTTAAATAGTGCTCTTTACTGCGAGGATCGTGCACAAATACGTTTCTATAACTGCAGTTCAGATATATGAATTTCATATATTCATTGTGTTTGATTTATCATCTTACGGGTTTACGTCAAATTAATTTGATGACCTGCACCCAGTTGGCTTGTTAGCTCAATTGGTAGAGTGCTATGCTAGTATTGCAGAAGTCAGTGGTTTGAAACCCGAACAGGCCTGAATTTTTTCAGGTCTGATTTTCACTATTGCTTAAATAGTGCTCTTTACTGCGAGGATCGTGCACAAATGCATTTCTATAACCACAGTTCAGATCTAAGAATTTCATATATTTGTTGGGTTTAAAAATCCCATGTTAATATTTTTCTGTACTCTCAACACTTGTCTGCCTGCTTGATATTGATTTAATATTGTAAGGAGAAATCCTGTCTTGATCACTCATGGAAGTGAAAGGGTTGAGGACAAAAAAAAAAAGTTTTGATACTAGATTTCACTGATCTCTCTGTCATCTGAACTTCTGTCATCTTTAATTACAATCAATAATTTAGTCATCTACTTACATTGTAACAAAAATTTTGAGACAGGCAGTCCTTTATTTTAAAATAGGCATAGATTTACTTTACAAGTACTTACTGAATCTTGTGATATTATGTCGTACCACTGGCGGCACACTAGGGCACAATTTAACATCAAATCCACCATAGGTAATTGACAGAAAATATTCTCCATAATCTCCACAGGCAGTTGAGTAAAATGTGTACTACAGTGATTGAAATCTTGAGAATCATCTTCCTCATCAAAATCATTTATGTCACCACCAACAAGACCAAATGTTGACCTGGATGATGACTTGGTTTTAACTTGCTTTGTAGATTGAAAAGATTCAGAATTGTTTTTGTCGCATCCTGTTTGGCTAACTGTGCTTTCCAGGCTTACTTGACCACTCGGAATGCAGGAATCATTCCAGTGTGCTTGTGATGAACTACGTATAGAGTTTCCTTCCACCTCAGGATCATATTTAGTTTTTCTTCCGGGAACAACATTCGTAAAACGGCAGTCACTGTCATTTGAAGAATTTTCATCGTCGCTTTTGATGACGATGGTATTCAGGGCACTCCTCTGATTTTTCACAGATTTTCCCTTCAAGTTCTTTGGCGTTCTGGTAGATCGACGAGCGCGTTTCATGTTTTGCGTCGATGGACTTAACGATGACAAACTGGATGCCAGCTGTGTACTTGAACACGAACTGGAAGATAACGAGGAGGACGAAGAGTCCTCAGGGACACGTGTGTATCCGTCAATGAGAGTTTGTTTTCCTTCAGAAGAAGAATTTTTCGAGTTGGTAGGACAAGGAACTTGAAAATCTTCCGGATTGCTAAGAACACTAGCTAAATGGCGCTCCACAAATAAATTTGACTGCTTTTGAGTTCCTGAGCACCACTTTCCAGCTTGCAAATAAATATCAGCGGCTGAAGTGAATCCAAGCGAGGGTGGTAGTATAATTTGATCTGAGTAACGTCGTTGTCCGTCCAAAACAGAACCAGGGGTGGCTGTACCGCGCGAAGAAGGATTTGCAGTTGGTTTAACGAGAAAGTTTACCTCTTCTTTGCTGATACCACTTCTGGGAGTAAAATATTGTGAAATACTCCGTTGACGTGGATTTGAAATAAACATATTTCGCTTTTTTCGGGCAGTGTTATTGCGATCCATGAAACTTATAAAAAAAAATCTCTTCTAACTGCAGTTTGAATTCATTTGTTGGCCGCCATTACTAATGGTTTTTACGCCCCAGTGCTCCTCGGCATTTTTGACGAAAGCTTCAATTCTCCAAGCAGGGGGTGGGGAGGAGAAATTATAAAAAAGGGCAAATTTGTCTTTATTTTTTGAAAAAAAAGTAAGAAACACCAAAGGAGATGTCTTGAAAATAATATTCTTCACTGTCCCTATTGTTTACTCTTGGAAATTTGCTTTACTACACCAGATCGATGTCAAAATCGAAATCCCTATTGTTAATTTAGGGGACGAGTAGGTGCGCTGTTGCTCTGATATTTCATCTGACATTAGTATTTATTCACCATCCCCCAGCTGGTCAATTTGTGAATTTGTTCCGACCAAAATGGCGGACGTCTGGAACGGAACTCGTGCTGGCAAACAACTCTCTATCGAATATCCCCTACCTCTTCGCTTGGTTCAAGCCAACAAACGAGATGAATTCATGAGTATGGCAGACTCTAAGACCGAGAAAGAAGCCGTATTGAACTGTGTTCATTTGAAATCGGGTGACACTCCAATTATTGTTGCTGCGCGCCATGGCCATGGGGATTTGATGAACTTTTTAATTCTTCGCGGTGTGGACATTGAACAACGAAATAAGGACTTGAAAAGAGCTTTGCATGAAGCAGCTGCTAATAGCCATCTAGACTGTGTCAAGCTTCTTCTTTCGCAAAATGCAGAGATCGACTGTTTAAAGAGAGCGGACTGGTAAATCTTAACCTTATTAACCATCTACAACCTAACATCAGTATGCATATTCTCCATACTGTTCTCTATATATTTAACAAGTATTAAAAACTGGGTCATTAGATATTGCAATTCAAGACTTTTTATTGGCTTAGCCATTATGGTATATGAGCCAATATACCATAATCTAATATCTGGACATTTTAACATCTGGCTTCTTCATACAAAATAAAGTCGAGAAGATTTGTCTAATATCTTGGGGGTGTTTTTTTTTTAATAAAACAATGATTCCACTCGCGCGCATTGGATATGAGATGATAGATAGCCAACGAGGCGCGTAGCGCCGAGTTGG